CGCAACCTAACACAATTTCGAACAAAAGCAGGTTACCCTAATCAGTCTGCCAATGTCATACTTGACGACGTGAAGACGCAGCAGATCCCTCTGCCTGACTACTAGCTAGACGCTTTCAACCTTTAGCATCACGCCTACGGCCCAACTAATAGCACCTTGGGCGTCTTGCTCCCCTCTTGTGATCCAGTAACATCGATCATCATCAATGCATCAATGCATCTCGGAGACCGTGAAAAGCCGTCTCAATTAAACGGCCAACGCCATGTTTTGTTAATTGCAGATTCGCTTGTCCAAACTTGGAAGCATCCGGAATCGGCTGCACCAGTGCTTATACTTTCGTACGTCAAAACTTACGGTTCGACGAAGAAACCTTTTCAGATTGTTTCTGTATACGCGTCTGCAGGAGGCACGGGCGAGCAAGCGGATGCGTCATCGCACGACAAGGCTGACGTCACGAAGAGAGCCGCCCACAATCTCGCGCTGATATTCCAGAAGAGCGGGGCGCATTTGCTGGCAGATCAGATTCGTCGTGACTATCTAGCCCAGGAAAGAGAGGCCGACTGACTTTGCATGTTCTCGACCACGCTTTCAGCAACTCTGATCAGTATAGATACAGTCCTCTGTTACGGGATTGCTTTTCAATAGATTGTCCGAAGCTCTGCACACGATCCGGTGGCCCTGCACATACGGAGGTCCACGGTTGAAAGTCCGAGCAGGTGCTCAAATTCGTCATTGCAATCACGTACGTGGTCTCAAGTGATTCTCAGTATCAGTATCCGGTAATCCCGCGAGTTGTTGCAAAACCCAAAGACCATGTCATCACTGCGACAGAGCCCCGCGTGCCTCTTCCCATTTCGATGCTTCCTTACTTGGAGACTCCCCGAAATTGCAAGCCTGCTTCGACCTAATTGTCCATTAGGCTTGAACGGTTCCTACAGCATACGAAAACTTTCATCAGAAACAACAAAAGTACCGTCATGCTTTTTATGTTAGACGCTCAAACACGACGGTCGACGTTAGCCACTGCATTCAAAAGCGAGCTATACTGGGAGTATCGTTTGGGGGCGGAGTCGACATGCAGCTAGCCCGTTGTACATACTCAGATCATTGCCTTACAAAAAGCTGTATAACCTAGTCCAAATCCGGCCTTCATGCATGCGCGGCAGGCTCGCGCGAGGCTCCAGTTATCGATAAAATCTGCATACGTGATCCGACAGTCATCGCATCAAGTAATTGCGAGCTAGCGGATTACGTCCACATGATAAATCTCGAGATCAGCATCTCGAGATCAGCATCTTGAAGTTCCTCAGAAATAATGGATCCAGGAGAATCACATGACGGGATGTGCATCAAGCCTCCCGACTCTTGGAACAGTACAGAGATCTTCTATGGGAGCAGCCATTGACGAATACCGATGGACGAGTACCGTGCAACGCGCTTCAATGGCGCTGAAAGCACCGGGAAACGACGAATTGGATTGCGGCCATATGCGCGCTCTCAAAATTGTACTGCGTGTCTGAGGAACAAATCGTGTCTCATGCAAGGATCGTCGAAGGTGGTAACTTGGTGGTATCAGCAATGCAGGACTGTGTTTGCATCTAATTTTTGCCAAATGACAATCTGGGCCTTTTGATTCAAAGTTGTCGCGATTTCGAGCCACTTCGGGCGCCTTGACAGGCGATTAACTTCTGTTGCAGTTTAGCTTCAAACTGATTGACACAGACTTTGACGAGCTAGCCAGCTCATCATCTGACAATGTATCGTCCTGAGTCGGATGTTTCGGAACATCAGTCGATTCGGAGCATGTCGACGGAATTAGTAAATCCTGCTCCTGTATCTTCAACTTTGATGGAGGTCACAGAAAGAAGCCAAGAGCTCGTACTGCAGGAGCGCACGCATCCAGTTTGTCTGCGCCAAAGGACCTACGTGCTGAAGAGTTCTTTCTAAACATTTTATCAGCCTGCGCGCATTCTAGAGAGGCATCGTTGGGAACGGTTGTCTTCGAAGCCCTCAAAACCTTTGCGCTTCAGGGTTGTCCGCGGAAATCCAAGCCACCAGATGGCTCTTGCCGCATATGCATCACCAACAAGAAGCCTCGCCTTGAAGCGAGTTGCTGGATCTGCGGCAACGAGTCTTTCCCGCTCAGACTCTACCCGCCATGCAGGGTCTGTTCAGCCTCTGAATCGTACAACTCTTACCTTGCAGCAGAAGAATTTCTCTACCTCTCACTTCCGACGACTGCCTATCATGAAGTGTTCAGGCAAAGAACAGGATACAGAAGTGAGGAACAAGGTAAGGGTTCGATCTTCCCTACTGGATTGTTTGATGTGGTTGTCAGACTTTGACCTCTCCTGCATGAAAGATTCTGGATTGTATCAATTCATTGCGTGGAAGATCTTCGGATCCAACCCATGCATAAGCATTACCTCGATCAGCTTTCAATCTGACAGGGCTGTGGCGTCCATTTTGCTCCTGATCAACACTGAGGGCCTGGTTTCCCAGCATGCAGACTCTATCCAGATTCCAGAAGTGATAATTCAAAATGGAGATTTGGCATCAAGCTGTCTGAATTCATCTTATCCATCGTCCAGGAGTGGCGTAAGCTCGTTTGTCCATACTTTGAGCTTGAGGAGTCACCAGTCAATTTTTGACCGTTTCAAACAAAGTTGAATATGCAGAGGTGGTCCACAAGCCTTCAAGATTTCAAAGTGCAGTCTGCGAACACACATCCACTTATCTTGCATTGCTTTGATTTTAAGGCGATGACTCTGCTTAATTTTGTTCTACAGGAACTTAGAAACACGAGATAAAGATATCAAGGATATCTCATCAACAAGGAGATTTGATGCTGTTCATGAAATCAATCCGAGTGGAACAGATTCCGTCTAGTCCAAGGAAAGTTCTGTGTCCTGTGAGTTTTCACACATTCATACTGAAGCCAAAATGCTTTGCAACATCTGCTATGAAGGACATATCCTGATTTTATGCTTTGACCAACTCTGCAGGCAGCAATGAACCTTGTCACGAATGGGGTCCAGCTGAAATCTCCTGGCAAGACACCCACGGTCCGAGAGGCACCATTCCTAGAGATCATCACCGACCTGAGCTGGAGTCTGAAGATCAAAACCAAAGACTTTAACGACTCTTTTGGAGCAAAGACTCTTGCAGAACAATGCTCAGAACTTCAGTGGCCTCCATGCTGCGTCTCCCCAAACACCTTCAGGGACAGCTCATTCGGCTTCTTCGCAAGCTTCGAGGAGTGGATGCAGACTTACGGTCAGCCGTTAGACGACGTCGACTGGGAAGGCAGAGACTCCGAAGCGCGCGAGCGCGCGGCACGGAAATTTCAGGAGGCTATGAGCAGTCCGCAGTGTCAAGCACATCATGAAAGATACCTGGAAGATCTTGGTCTCGGCGGTGAATCGGAGCTGCAGCCAGTCATTCCCGGAACAGACTGCTTCAACCCTGTGCTCGAGAACTTCTGGAAGCCCTGGGCCAAGTAAGCAGGCAATCAAAAATATTGCTTCCTTTTTTTCTTAACCCGCCTTTGAAAGGTTCATATAAATGGCTTCTCAAAAAGGGGGGGTAGACCAGGTTTCGCTTGGGAAATTTGACAATGATCTAGAAGACAATTCAGCCTGCTTGACTAGGCCGTGGAGGCCTCCAAACCAGCAAGTGTAAACCAACGAGAGCAATCTGCTGATCTGATCCGCTGTCAGCTACGTCCCAAATTTCGGGTCTCCTGGAAGCCTACTGTAGCTTCTCAATGAACGAGTTATCATTCAAACGTGTCTTCGAAAACATAGTCTTACATCGCTGTTGGCTTGCAGGTCCGTTCTTTTTCCCGGAGCTTTCCGTCCGGACATCGTCGACGCTCCGGGCGCCCTCGCCGCGTGTTTCCTGCAGCAGGCTGTGCGCGAGCACCTGTGCTGGTCCGTTCCGACGCTGCCCATTCTTCGCTGCATGATCAATTTCGCTCCGGAAGGCCGGATCCTGGACGTCGCCGCGGGAAGCGGTTACTGGAGTGCGCTCCTGGCCGGCCTCGGGGCGGACGTGTTGGCAATCGACAATTTCTCTTGGTGGCAAAAGCGGCGCGTGAACGGCGGATCGGTGAACGGAACGGAAAGCTCATCAGGCAAAGAAGGCATACCTCTTCCGGTGAGCTTGTAAAGATATAGGAGCATGAGGCGTAGGCCAAGCAAGGTTGCATTGCGAGCGTGCGTTTGAGAGTTCCACGGACTTGCATGCGCTCCAAATTTTCATAAAAATCTCGATTTGATGGTCATTCGGTTCAATCTCGCCGTTTCCGGATTGCAAAACCCCAGCTTCTCCGTCGTATTTACATTCGTGTAACATGCTTACTCTGTCGGTCTGCTTCTGACGAGCTTCTTCGTAAAACTTTCCTGTTGTTTGCGATTCTATTTGTTGGCCATCTGTCGTACGAAGCTGGTGATTCCAAGCTCGGATTCTGGGACCTTGCAGACGCCCTTCTACTACGACATCGAGGAGGCGGATGCCGTTGAGTTCATCAAAGCTGGCAAAGCGGAGGGACGCGCGCTCTTCTTCAGCTGGCCGTTCAATGTGATGCAATGCCTGGAGCACTACACTGGGGACACCGTCTTTTGGATCGGAGAAGGATCTACAGACGACATCATGCCGTGGGCTGATGAGTGGCTTGAGGTGCACCGGGTCGAGATTCCGCAATGGTTCAGCCTTCACGATGAATTTGTTGTCTACAAGAGAAAAGGAAGCTTTTCTTAGCGGTGGCTGAGGAATGCCGCGTCGGTTGTCGGCTGAGATAAGAATGTCAAAACGTACTGTGTTCAGATTACATTATTGGAGGGCCTGAATCTGGTACAGCTTGTCTGGGGTATCTAATGCTGATAGTGACGGTTGATTAATTTTCGAAGGCTGCAAAACAACCTCCTTTAGCTGCTTCGCTTGTGCCTGTCTAAACGCACCGAGATTGATCTTCTTGCAAACTGTTGAATGAGCACTTGTACTTTGAATCATTCCTTGCAAGATCCATGATGCATCAGAACGGTAATGAAATCACCATATGCACATCATGCGTGATTGGCAGCTCACAGGGTTTCTTGGAAGGAGGAAAGCTTGTATAAGCGATCGACGAAGCAAGGTTTCATTTTTAAGGTCTGGCACGTGACAACCTGCAGACTGATATCTGAAGTGTCTAATTTGCGTACACGTACCAGCACTTGACATAGCTCTCCAGGCCAATGGCCGCGCGCTGTCCGCGGTTTAACACTGAACGCTGCCATAATACGTCATTCCCTTCTCGACTTTAAAATGCATCCATAAACTCCGAGTTATGGATTTGGGCCGAGGCATATCTCATGGGAGCCTCGGAATGCTCAAAGAGCATGGAAAGGAGCCGCACTGACGGTACACTGATACGTTCGAAGCTGGTGCACAATTTTGCCATGGACCGTTTCGTGCAGGCGGCTCAAGCACGAGTTTGCTTGTTCAAAAAAGTCGTGCATGCGGTACCGTGCCTGGCTCCTAAGCTGGTCCAATTTCATGGATTCGATCATGATACGGGATAATAGACTCAGTCAGTTTGCAACTTGCGTTTCGTGAATTTTGAACATCTGTCACATGTGCGCGCTGGCGGGCTGCCCAGTACAGTGGGTATGCGGGCAGCAGCTCCCATGGGAGGATGCATGGTCCGTGTGGCCGGAAGCTACCATTTGGCACGTCGATTTGCAGGTCGACCGTCTGCATCGAGAACTGAGTACGCTTCTGTCGTATGTTGCTTCAGTGCATGTGCAGGTCACACGGTCAGACTTGAACAATCAGTTCCTCATGGTTGTATACCTAGTAGGGCCACGCAAGCCAACTCGCCTTATTAACGTACTACCCTAACAAGATATTGTGACCGAAGGACACGCTAGCATACTCATACCTATCGATCTCGCAGAAGGACTTGCGGCCTTCTACTCTACAGTAGCTACATTTGTTTTGATCAGCCCAACTAAGGAGGATATGGTGACACTTGGACCAAAGTCAAATCCTGTTGGTGAGACTACTGTCCTCTTTCAACTTGGAAATACTTTACAACTTAAGGCTTGAGTTAGCAGGCCAAAAAGGCACACAGATCAGGACGTCTTCCAAAAACACAAAAACAGAACTAGCAATTCGCAGTTTATCTCGTTGCTTTCATGACTAGACAACGGTCCTGTGCGGCAACCTTCGCAACAACGTTTCCCAACTTCAGTTCCAAACTGAGCTGTGGTGGGACATCCGACACCTGCAAAAGAGAAAAAACTTAGCCGTCGTTAACCTATGTATCTTACCAGTTTCAGAGCACTTGCATTTGATTGGGGTTAAGCGACTGACTGGGCTTGAGCTGGTCAAGAATGTTGTGGCAAAGCAGACGGGTCTAACTATTTCCGGAAAACAATCAAGCACCTTCCTTAAGAGAATGGGAAAGAAGGCTTACCTCTTCAAAGCCAGCCCGTTGATAGAACTTTATCCTGTACACAGCAGAAGCTCGAACAGCTTCAGTCGTCGAGCAAAGCATGGGTCTCATGATGTCTTTGACCTGCTGATCCAAACCGGAAGAACAGTCAAGCCGATTTGGGCAGAACGAGTTGCGAGCAACTTGAACACATGAGGGACCATCACCGTTCATTAACCAGGTCTTGAGAACGCTTCTTCGTTCTCGTGACGGAGAAAGTCGAAAAATTAAAGTCGCGTCCTGCTCAAGAAAACAGGCGGATTGGGAACACGCAGTAGAAGAACTTACGCCCGTCCAATCGTGAGCAGGTACACCTCTCCTTCGATCCGGCCAAGCAGCTCTTGGAGAAGCCTAGTCCCAATCCCCTGGCCTCGATGTTCCTTGACCACAACTAGACTGCGCAACTCTTGAATTGGGGGATCCCCCGGAATGTTTGCAACTTGGCCGCACGCGACCAGCTGACCTGCAGCGTCCTCGGCCACCAGAAAGCGGTCACGGAGAAGGTTGAGGGGGTTCATTCTGCAGGGACAGTGCCCGAACTACAGTTGGCAAATTCGATCGAGTAGGGGGTCTACACCGCAACTGATGGAACCGGTGCAGGAAGACCACAATGTCGGCAATTGTTGTCTCCAAAGGAAAGAAGTTCCTTGCATTTCTATCTAGTAAGAGATCCACAGGATGGCTTGTTCCCAAATGCACGGGTGTGACTGATATTGACCGAGGGAACCGACAAACGTTTTCTTGTCATCACTCAAGAAAAGGCACCCCATAACAGGTTCATGGAGACGCATTGTCCAGTCAAAGTTGAGTTGCAAGGTCTCTACATTCAGAAGGAAAAGAGATCATCATTGTAGTAGGACAGTAGGACTTATGACACCCAACATATGAATAGCTTATGAATATAGCTCACGCTTCTTTTAGAATCAGCCACTGGATCTGGGCCATGTCCTGCTCCTGTGCTGGACGGAACTTGACAGGGGCATCGCTCCTGTCAACCTCGTTGGGGGGGCTTTTGCCGGACCGACATCTTCTGCAAGGAATCACAAAAGGGGTCAAGAAGAGAAGCTGGTTCAGGTGGCCGCCAAATCAAAAGTAATCAAGGGGCAATCTGAAAATCCTCTCTTGCTTGGACTTAGCCCTCTGTACAAACTAAACAGTACATTAAAATCCTTATGACGATAGCCCCATTGTAGCCCCATTGAGTATCATACAACACTGCGTAGGTGGTTGGCAAACAGAAGTACTATCAGACGCTGGCCCCCGTGCGCGGTTTCAAGTACTGCAAATGCCTTCAAGTTGTCAATCGACTTTGTCTATCTGGTCCTCAACCTTGAGAATCAGTCTAATAAGAAACATTCATATTACCTATCTCTGAGTACCTGAGTCCGCTCAAAAGTGCAGCATTTTATGAACAGATGCCCACTGATGAGGCAGAAACTTACAAAGTCTTCCTACGTGCCTGGCCCTCTCCAGCTCTCACTTGACTCTGGGGGTTGTTTCGACCATTACTGCTCAAGAGAACTGCCCTTGCCCTGCAATTGGAGGGTGAGATGCTGCGGAGACCCTCCCTCTGTAACCAAGACTCCCCCCAACACCTGCTTCTTTGAATTGCAGCCGCATTGAGCGAGGCACTTGATGTTCTGCTGCATTTCCCCTGCTGCGCTTGCGCCACAACCAAGCAATGTGGTTTCAACAGAGGACTGTGCTTGCATGGATGAGAACTATCAGAGGATGCCAACAGCGCACGTCCAGCTAGACACCGATGGCCCAGCACTGGCGTTTGGAGAGAGGCAGCCATGGGCGCTTGCCAAACGCCAAATTGCTCAATAATAAGGCAGCAAATTTGAGGATGCCAGGGATCACACTGCCGATCCGCTGTGGTCGAGCGCAATCCAAGGGAAACAGAGCTAGTCTCACCGGAGCAGCGGAATCCGCCTGTCACTCATAGGGCGGTCACATATGACTTCTCGGGAAAGTGGCGAGTGTTCCCTGGTGAGGGAGCGTGTGCTCCCCGAGAATCTGCTTTGGTCATATTTCCCTCAGGGACGGGTTGCGCGAAATGTTAAAGCTTCCCGATATCTACGGCGAGGCAGACTGTCCAAGGAGTGACCGCCAACCCGTCCCCTTAGATTTTTACCGGCGTCCCTGAAAGGCGTACCGTCCCCCAGAATATCGACTTGAAATTCTGGCCGGGACGAAATCACCGGTTTTCGGACGAAAATTCGGTCCCTGAGTGACGGTGCACCCCGAAAATGTTCATATGTGACCGCCCTATCAGCTAGAAAACTCAAGGGTGGGCGAAGAAGACGGTCATGCAACGACTCGAACAAGATCGAACTTGAAGCCAGTCATCTTAGAGTCAGAGTCATGGCCGCCCTCTCCGCGGACCTTCTTGTGAGGATAATCCACCTGGCTGCGAAAGGTGATGCCGAAACCATTGCGGCGTGCAAAGCTGTGAGCAAGGAATGGCGAGATTCTGCACGGCATGTGTGCAGCAAGGTGGTGCTCGCTGGGGTAGAGAATGCACTGCCTGAAGCCTTGAGGCATCATCCCCAAGTAACAGAGCTGGAGATTGTGATGAAGAACGAGTATAAGGGTCAGGTCTCTGCGGAGGTGTATGATGTGCTTTCCTCAATAGCCTGGGCTTCTGTAATCCTGCATTACAAACCGGCAGCCGGTCCCCCTTCTCTGGCCACCCTTCTGTCTGCTTCAAAGTGCAGTTTGACGACCCTAGTGCTAGAGAACGTGCTTCTTGAGGCTTCCGACCTCCGCTGCGCACTATTTGCCTCAAGAAATCTGGAAAGGTTCAGCCTAGGGGGACAGGTGTGGTATCGTAGCGGGAGCAACGAGTCTATAGATTCCCGAAAAGCAAGATTCCTGGAGCAGGTTATGAGCGGCGTTGGTGCCTTGACTAGTGTAAAAGAGTGTCATCTTGCCAAGTTTGGCGACTTGATTACTGGCGAGACCATTGCCCTGCTGTTACGCACTTTCTCAAATCTCAAGGTCTTGTCTTTCAGAGACATTGTCGGCTTGTCAAAAGCTGCATATGTCGAGCTCGCTTGCGGCCTGCCTCACTTGCGGTCCTTGAGAGTGACAGGGTACTCAGCGGAGTATTTGAACCCCCTTCCCTCTGTCATGTCAGAGCACTGCCCTTTGCTGGAGGAATTAAGCATGTCGACCCCTCTCATGGAAAGCCTGGATAATTGCTCTAGCTCCTTGATTCAGGGCGTGGCATCTCTCCTTAAGTGCTGCCCTTCTCTAACCACTCTACAGTTGCCTGTTCCAGTTTGGAAGCAAGATTGGCCTTTGCTTTTACCAGATATGGGGAAGATTGTGGATTTGGGTTGTTCATGGGACGATCTCTATAGTGCTCCTTTGCTCGGAACGCTGCCAGAGCTGAGCCACTTGGCATTGGCTGATAAGTCGGAGTGGACAAACGGAACCGTGATGGAAGATCTCTTTATGCTTGATAAGTTAGTCCGGCGCTTGCCCAAGTGCTCCAGAGTGAGTCTACGCCCCAGATGGCTTAATGCTGCAAGACGTTTTAATCGGCGCAAGTTGATGCCTGGAGTAGTTTTGAGTGCGCTCAAATACAGCTGGGAGTAAGGACGCAGGCCAAAACTTTTTGTTGTCTCTAGGCTTTGCAAAGAGAGAATACATTTCTTTGTTTTAGCTCCCAGGACATTGACACAAGATTGCAGAAGCCAACAACGTTGCAACACTACAATTGGCTAATAGATAGCTGCGGTGATTGGCGTCCATGCATGTGGTGAAAGAAGCTATAATCTATCAAGATCGTTGGTCCTTCCAAGAACACTGTGAGCCTTGTTATTGCTAGTGGACGGGGACATTTGAAAAGTTGCTTGAGTTGTCAAGCTGCAATTGTTGCTCCTGGCACATGGTTGGTAGGTCTTGAAGATACTAATCGTAGGATTACTGGACATGATCTGCAGCCGTAAGAAGCTGCCGGCAGAGTTGACCGTCTCGTTGTGTTTTGGAATCGCGGCAGCATGCCCAATGGCTCAATGTGGCTGAGGCCGTTAATAGCTCATAGGATTGTAAGTGACCTTCTATAGCTGCAATAAGAGCAGGCATTTTGTAGTAAAATTGCCCCGCCGCGGCCTGGAGGTTTGGGCTCAACCCTCCAACAGTTGAGGGTCTGCACGGACACTATCATTGTGTGTACGTGCTTGGTAATTAACCTGTATTCACATGGATGGCAAAACTCAGAAGTTCTCGATCCAATCCAGCCAGGGAGCACGCTCTCCAGCCGAGCTACCTAAGGCCAAGATGGACTTTTTTCATATCTAGCGGTTGAGTGCATACGTAAAAAGCAGCTGGATCATACGGACGAAACGAACGTATGGCCCAACTTGCATGCGAGACGATTCAATGATGTCGCAAGTACCTTAATGTAGTCGCCATCGTGTCATCATGGCAAATTAATTGTGCAGTCGCTCGCTTGCGGGGCCTGGCGGCATTGACGTTTATATAGTGCACGTTTGTAGCATGCAGGTGATTGCGGTGCCTTTGGGGCCGGATCGAGCATAAGTTATAGTCATGCATATAGGATCCGCCGGCCCTCAAATTGTGATCTGAGCTGGCTAAGACGGTACTATTCACGTGGCCGGCCGGCATCTCATGATTGTCACTGAAAATGCACATGGCACATTGAGCCGAGAGACGAATCGATTTTAATACATTCAGTCTAGGCTTGCAGAAGTGGCGGTCACAGTATTTGTGGTTCCGTTGCGCGCCAAATTCGAGCGATTCAGGAAGTTCACGCCTAATGATTACAGATGATATGTACACCATAGTATGCAGCTCGCGCGCTCAGAGATATGCGTGCGTCTGCAGGAAAGATGACGTGCATGCAACTTCATGCATGCACCGTCACTGACTGAAATTCGATTGACACCAGTTTTCCTTTTGTTATGAATTAAAGCGGATATTAGTCAGAGACGAAACCAAGGAAGTTTCTTCGCTGGCGGACGGTACGTACGGACATGCATTTAGACTGCTTTGACTTCGCAAGCTCTTATAGACAGGGTAGATAGCGAGATCACATTGGCAAGTTGGGTTTATGCAAGACGTGGGCATGATTGCGGGCCTCGTTTGGAAGTTTGGATCAGCGCCGCGTGAAGTCAGTCAGGTCGGAAACACTCGTCAAACAGGACCGGGTAAGCATAGAGTTGTAAACAGGACTATGGAGGGACATCCAAATGTGTGAATTGACTTCACATACTTCGCGCCAAAAACATAGCAAACTTCGGACCTGGTTGCTCACGGGCGACAATCATCAAACCGCAGAAGGCCTTGCGGGGATTGACAGTCACCTAGTATCGTTTTTCTGACCGAACAGATTCGCGAACATCTTCTCTGCCATCGGGGGCATCGTCATCGGCTCGGGAGCCATGAAGTTGAGGAGCGGCTGCTGCACCGTGTACCTGAACGGAACGAGCGGAATGAGCGGAACGAAATGGCGTCAGGGTCGGAGAAAGAGTGGTCAGCTTAGTTCGGCCTAAGGGAAGCATGCCTGGAGACCTGGGAAACGGGTCAGGGTTAGCTGGCGGGTTAGGGAGCCGAGAGTTTGAATAGTTAAGTGGCCGACAGTACTCTATCTGCCCGCGTTCTCGATGTAGTAGAAGTAGGGCACTGGAACGTGACCCTATTCGAGACGCCCATAACGCACACGAACACAAGCAGCCGCAGCAAGCTTTACCGATGCTTAGAGCAATCCTGCTTACGAAGACTCCGTTCGAGGGTCCCACAGTCGATTCAAACACTTACGTGGAAAGGTTGGAAATTTAGGGCAAGACGAATGACCAAGAGATAAGAAGCACTCATCGCCGACTCAGTCGGCAATAAGCAGCAGTCAACAGCGGAGGCTTCGGCAATTCGGTCCTGCTAAAAAAAGGAAAGGAACCGACTCTCCTGGGCAGATTGCAAAGGATGGTATCTGGTGCTTTTGACGGTACAGAGACCGGGAGCCGATTGTTTGAACCGACTCTCTACAAACGGGAGCCGGTTGAGCAGACCGGAGTGCCGGAAGCGGGTTCAGCAGACCGGCTTGCGGAGAAGAGGAACCGGAATGATGAATCCGGGTTACAAAATGGGAACGGTTCGTAGATTCTGAAGCGAGAGCGCCTCGTCAGCTAAGCCCGATGACGGTCCAAAGAACGGAAACGAAGGCACGTGAGAATCGCACCTGATTTTGCGGCCCTTTGAGGCTCGTCGGTCCACCACCTTCTTCTTGTTGTTGCGCAGCTTCTGCATCGCGTATAGGCTCATGCCGCCTGCGGCAAACAGAGGCCACCCTTCAGCAACGCAAAAAGTGGGCGCGTTTAAGCGGGTCTCCCGAACTCAAAGTAGAGATTGCCTCCTCGTAGGTTAGTGACGGGGTTTGCTTCACTGATAAAGGGCGTGGACAAAATCTGACGGTTGCACCCATGTTCACCCACTTATGGCCGCTCTGTCTAGCAAGGCGAGAGAATTGAAAGGTTAAGTGACCGCGAATCAGGTCGGTGTAAAGCGGCTGGGCTCTGGCTTGCAGTCAAATGCGAATCCAAACCCCAGCCATCTTGGCACAAACGGCATCAGGAAACGTCTCGTTCACATTGAAAGCGAACCAGCGCCTTAGCCTCTAGGTGGTGAGCCTCTAGATGGTGACTACGCGAACAATTGGAAACAGAAATACGTGACTCAAGAAGGTCTGCAAAGAATTCAGCAACTCTTCGTTGACAGAGGCCCAGTGTTCAACAAAGTGTTCACATTCACCTCAACACATGTTCTACGGGCCCGCCGGAAGCGGAAGGGAATGAGGAAAGTATCATTTGGCTGTCGCATATAAACATCTTCGGGATGCACGATCCCTCAGATATCCAATTTTCGTCCCTCAGCGACCGAAAACCGGTAATTTTATCGCCAAAATTTTCAACTCAACATCTCGGGGGACAGTACGCCCCTCAGGGACGCCGGTGACAATAGTAAGCGATGGTTGGCGGTCATTACTCGGACAGTCTGGCTTTCCGTAAGATCCGAGAAGCTTCAGCTTTTCGCGCGATGGGTCCCTCAGGAAAATATGACCAAAGCAGATCGTGTGGGAGCATGCGCTCCCTTGTGAAACACTCGCTACTTCTGTGAGAGCTCATCTATGACCGCCCTATCACTAAAGCTTGCGACAAACCACATCAGCGGAATAGTGCAAGGACGGAATCCCGTGGCGGAGTTGAGCGGGACTCTCCAAAGCCCCCAAGGCGTTGAGACAAGTCCCCGGGCAGCAACCGGTACCACTAATATTGGACTCACATACGCGATCCGCATAAAATAGCACTCGCATAAGCGGACCGGGATGCGAGCGGAACGAGCGGAACCTTACTCGAAGTCCCTGAGGAGTCGAGGAACTCCTTGAGCAGCTGTTGATAGAAGTCGGTGTCGTCGAACGTCTCCGAGTCGACCTCCTCTTCCGCTGCCACGTGGCTCGCTGTGATTGGCTCGTCGGCGTCCGGACCGTCCGCATCGGCCGCGGCCGCAGCTTCTCCGGACGTCTGAGAAGCGGACGGGAAGGCTCGCTGTGCCGGAAAGAGCGAGCGTGAGGGCTGCGTTTTCTCGAGGCGTAGATTGTTTTTAAGCAGCTTCACGTGTGGAGTGAGGCGTAGAACAAAATTTGCTTGCCGGTCGGAAGCGTGACTAATAAACTGCAAGAGAATGTTTCTGATGGCTGCTGTAAACATAAACGCATCGTTGGAGCCACCTTTTTGACCCAAATATCACGAATTTGAGACACAGCGGACACCTTTGGGCAAGCGCACCAAACCCGCGGAATCAGATTGAACCCAGCAAGCTCAACGAACCGATCTCAAACCGAAAGCGGAATCTCGATAAACTGAACTCCAAACGGGTCCTCGGTTTACTGATTTAGCCCCCGGAAAATGACAGGGAAAGGGCCACGCACGAGAATACTCAATGAACTGCACAGCCAGTTGCCAAAAGGTTTTCATTTGGTGACTCGAACTGACTCACAGCAAGTCTCGAATCAACTGGCACGTCTTGCTCCCCAAACCTCGTTGAAAAGCCTCTAAACCAACGTATTGTTGGTTTTCAAGACCAATTCGCAAACCGCAATCTTAACCCACCTGTCCGAAAGCATGCACGGCGTCCGCCTTTATGCGCGTCCGTCCGAGCAACCGCGCCGGGTCCCGCAGCGCGCTCGCGATCTGTGACGTCACGCTCTGGTTGATCGCCCGCAGCTTGCCCCGCCCCGCGGCCGCCCCTGTCGCCAGGAGCGTCTTGCGCTGCCACCTGTCCACGGAGGCGTTGCGGTACGGGAGCCAGCTGCAAAACAGGCAGCGGATTGATCACGTCAGCATACTTTCAAAGAATCTCAGAGGGGCTGAGAATGTCGTCACTTTGCGGCAGGCACGCTCTGGTGCTGCCACCTGTACACTGAGGCGTTGCGGTACGAAAGCGAGCTGCATGAGAGAAAGCGGATCGCTGTTGCTGACGTTAGCAGAGATGCGAAGAACCTCGGATGCAAAGCCAGCTGTCCACAGCGCGTCGCGCCAAAATCAAGCTGTGCACAGAAATTATTAGATTGCCCGGGTGAGAAAACAAAGATCGCTGACGCAAAGTCCCTCTCTCATCTTTCAAACTGACGCCGGGAACAAATCAGAAAATAAGACCTAGGGCATGGAGGCCCATTCTAGACACCCTGCCATCTGCTGTGGCAAGAGCGAACCGTTCACGTTGGATGAGGGCCAGGCAGCCACTCCTTTGCCTATCGATGTAGGAGGAAACCGTGCTAAAGTAGGATAAAAGGACTACTCAGACGGTCGAACGAAAATCCGCCGCTCCAATTGCAGAAGCATTATACTTTCCTTCCAACAGCCGGTTCCAACAGAGACAATCGGGCACTGATTCAAGCAACGAAGCTCTGAACATGGAGGATTCAAAGGCGCCCCGCCGGTACCCTGGAGTCAAGAAATCTTACAACTGTCTTGCTATGATACGACGGGACAGTGGACAAAAGACGGCAATCGCACAGCAGCACCAAACCGTTGGTGAATCAAGCAAAGATCGTGAGCTACAAAAATATCACCTGTTGTATTGCTCGTCCATTTGCTCCCAAAGCCGGTCCACCGTGCTAGCTCCGTCGTCCTGCGTTCGCTCCCGCTTTCCGTTCTCTGCAACATAGGAGCGGAAAGAAAATCACAAAATGCGGAGAATCTCCATCTTTTTGCGGCGGCTCGCATAACAACGAACCTACTCGAAGGCCCGAAGAGGGAGACTTTAATATGCTATTAGGCAAAGGTTTTCGATATAGGCACGTAGGATGCAAGGGCTGCATGATCACCGGACAACGACTCCTCGGACGTTCGAGGCTGCAAAAAAGCTCAAAACCCAACTGTGTCGTCAAAGCAGGCGTTCAAGCAGATCCCTGTGAAGTCGCTCTTACGTAAAGCCTTTGATGATACCGCCGAACATCCGTTGTATTAGCAGGCAACCTTCCAAACACGGTGGACTCGTTCATCGAACCCTGAAATTCACTGCCGCTCATGCAAAGCCTCGATGGCACAGCACTTCAGAACAACGAAAGCTCCTCTCATAAGACAGAGACCCTTCAAAGACCACCATGTCCGACCGAAAGAATGTTATGACGTCTCGACGGAAAAACGGACCCTTGGAAGAACGATTCTTGACCGGAATGCATATGGCCGTGAGGCCCATCAAATAAATAAAACGTTAAAGCCGAACAAAGTGAGAGTTGATTTCAGGTTTGCCGAACGTGACCTGAAGAAACCTCGCCGGACACGAAGTAAACCTCTCGACGCTTCCCACGTCGAAGATTGATTTCTCGTCTTTCCTCGTCAGGCTTTCATACCATAACGGAAGACAACACCGCATGCAGCAAACAAAAAGGGAGTATACACGGTGATCCGAAGAATGATCATTGAGCCAGCATCGATCCCCACAGCTCAAAAAGCAATCCTCCAACCTTTACAAGAGAGGCTCGTTCCACTAGGCACTCCAGCTGTGCCTGACGGTCATCTTTAAGCCTTTGTTTTCAAACTAGATCACCGTTCCGCGCAACCCACCGTTCATCGCTTGGTCCCTCGCGGCCGCGATTGAGTCGTTCTGCTCCAACAGCCCCTGTTGCGCAGCCAATAGCTTCTCCAACAAACCGCCCGCCGCCTCGCTCAGCTTTTCCAGACCCGCCCGCACGTCCGGCGCCGCTTCGACGAACGAGGCTCGCGCCTCGGGCCGCGGGAGGCGGTTTCCGGACTGGAGCAGCTTGTGCAACGAGATGCGAAGTTCGAGCCACTTGTTCCACAGCGCGCGCTGGTTGGCGACGGCCGCGCCCTTGCTGCGGTCGACGGACGACTGCTTGCGGACGCTTGCGAGCATGGCCCTGCGGATGTCCGAAACGGTGGGCATTGAAAAGGCGTGGTCCAATTACCTCTGATCGCGAATTAGTGGCTTGGCTTAAGGTGGTTTGGTACGTTGCACTTGAGCTCGGACCTAAGATACGGAAGGTTCACTAGCGGAACGGACGCTCAAAAAGTTGTCTTGCAGTTCTCCACTATGCAGATTTTGAGAGACCACAATTTTTTCTGAAACAATTCACATGGGTGAGCGACTGGACTCCAACCAACCCTGCCCGCCAAGAATGGCACTCGCCCTTGAACAAGACAAAAAACCCGACTGGAATTTGTCCCCACCATAAGCGTACTGCGTGAATACAGACGTGCCTAACGAGTCACGGAACTTTGCTCTCCTTTACTGCATGATTCGTCCACAAGGTGACTCAACGTGGCCACACTTTCTTCTGTTCCAATATTTGGCCGCGTCTACGCAGTTTCTGTCGGTCAATTTCACCCATTCTCGCTTTTTGCTTTGCTAACTTTGACTGCCTTTACAGAAGTGAATCAAGGTCAATCCGTAAATTTTACCATTCACCCTCGAATATTCGATCCAACAGGCAAAAAAGTAAAAGCAGCTGCCGCGCTCACTCTTCCTGCTCTCTGAGCTCCCGGTACTCCCTCTCCAAATCGTCCTCATCCCCCCCCTCTTTTCCCTGCCGTCCGGACCCCCCCGCCAGCTCGTTCTGCATCCGACCCACTAGCTCATCCTCGCTTCCCTCGCTTTCTGCCCCCTCCAATGGCCCCCCGTTCTCTAACCCTTCCTCACGACCGCTTTTCGTCGGCTCAGTCTCTTTGTGGACGTCGGCAGCTTCTCCAATGATGTCATCGTCCGAATGCTCGAAGACATCCCCCTCGTCGTCGCTCCTGTCGAGCGCCTGCCCGCGGCTGGTTCTCCGGCCAGCATATGCCCCGTCCTCAATTGCAATGGACGCCCGGAGTGGCAGGTTTCCCGCCCGCCTGCCAGATAATCGGAGCAACGGTTGTCAGGTTCTTAGGTCTTTTGCCTTCTTTTGGCCTCAATTACGAAACGTCAACTGTTGAGTGGTTCTCTGACTTTGCTGATTCATTTCACACAATCGTCTCAGTCTTAAACCTCTGACGAAGAAACTTGGTTTCTGAAACATCTCTTCCTTATATTTCTTGCAACAACGCAAAAAGCGGAGTCAATCTCGGCCGGGTGCAGGCAATACCGGTCGTGATTGACAAGAGTTCGGCAGAACTTCGATTTTCAATGTTGGGCACTCTCAGATCTTGCAAAATTGCCGCTTCGCAGTAGGCCGCCTAGAGAACCATCCTCTTAAGCGGATCAATCCAGCTCAGCACAAAAGGGAGCACGGAGTGATTGACTTACTTTTAAAGTGTCTTCTAAGCCTACTAACCTGACTAGAAGTAATGTTCAATCGGTGATCCTTTCACTCACCCCTTGTCAGGCCCCCGCAAGTAGTCATCATCTTCGCTCCCTTCTGATTCATCTCCTGTTCCAAATGCTTCCGCGCCAAAGTCCTTGAGTTCAGGGTCTTCGTCTGTAAGAAACACAATGTGGTCATTCCTACAAGCAATAATTCATGGTCTTCCGGCAGGAAAGTCACTACAGTGCTGAGGCTCATGTCCGATATTGATGTCAAAGCGCTATTTCCTGATCTGTTTCTACAAAGTTCTCTTTGTCTTAATCTGTTTGTCTGAAAAGACATCAGAATCAGACAGCAATGCTGATGAAAAGGTGGTAAGGTCGCCGACAAACTGCCCTGTCCACAATTGTGCAGAAAGGCCGCTTGCATTTTTGACTGATGGTGCGCACCCTATCTGTACCAAGTGCGCTTCAGCTGAGCTTCTACTGTAAAACCAAACATGGGAAAGTGCAGAGTTGCTTATGGTGCCATGAAATGAACCTTAGTAAGACCTTTGTGGTGAGTGCAAAAACACCAAGCCTGGTCCCTCAGCTGCTTCCAAAAAGAACCATGAACGGACAGCATTGGCCAACGGACACGCAAATCCATCTGCCACATCACCAAACCATTATCGTGGCACAATGATGTGAGATACGCACACAGAACAACCTGATAGAGGGTGGTGCGATTGGAAAATGTTGGTGTTCGATCAAGCGCCTCACCTCGATAAGCGGGGAGGGGATTTGTAAACTCAGCAACCTCCTCCGCCAGCGTGCGGGCGCCCTTCCTCCGTTTCGCCCCGGGGAGGACGCTTCTTTTTTCCATCTTTTACTGGCAGGCGCTTTGACGATCTGGCAAGCTAGTCTGCCTCAAACCTTGAAGAAGCGCCCCAATGATGGGCGCAAACACGGTTCAAAGCTCACTACTTGAAGGTTTGGCAACAGCGCTCGGAGTCAAGGCACAAGCTATAATAGTACATGAGCGCGCCTGTGCTGCATCATCCGCTCGAGTCTCGCGCCTGTGGCCGCGCACGAGGAACCGGCGGCAGGCGCACGTCGCTGGTAATGGCAGAATTACCGGTTTTGGATACCAGAAAGGGTATAGTTGCCATTACCGCTTGCTAAGTTGAAGCCTGGGCCGCCGGATGGCACGACAGTTTTATTCCGCCCTTTTCGCCCCAATGATTCGTCTGACGACTCTGAAATCAGCTTGGCAGTGTTGGTCGGAGTCGTGTGCAGCTGGATTCTAGAATTCGAATTGGGCTAGGATGGTGCCTCCTTCCACGCCCTCGAACTGACCAGTCACATTGCCATCGCCAGATAGGCCTGGAAGGGAACATATGCGTTCGACCAAAGGATTGGGTGCAGTGATGCCAATTCATTTCAAAGCGTTCCAACAATGAGCTGCCCTTGTTGATGGTGGGGTCTGCCGCTGCTGCCACCTGGTTGGATAGGGGCGGCGATGTGACGCAATGGGCATGGAGGCGATAGCAAGCCGCCTGCCGGCACTTCCTATCCCAAACGCTGGCTTTGGCAGATCATGGTTGGAGTCGGATCCTCGCCGAAGGCCTGGGAACATAAGCAGCTTGACATCCGGTTCCAAAAGATTGTCGGGCAGTCAGCTTCCTTGCCACCTCTTCATCGCACCCCCCTCTTGCGCGTTCTCTTTGATACGTTCATTGAGACGAGGCCCGCGGTGCATGCTTCTGTCGCCGCCGGTGTCATTGCTGCCGGGCACTTCACGAGTGCCGAGCAGGAAACACTTTCGCTCAAGCCGGCGGCGGCGCAAATGGGACGGCAGGATTTCTGCTCAGAAGAACGACGATGTCGCGTCAGAGTATCTGGAGTTGGAGATGGAGATTTTCCAGTTTATGGAGACCTCCGGGCGGCCCGATGTGTTTCCTTCGAAGCAAGATTTGATCGATGCGGGGCGATTAGACTTGGCTGACTTGGTGCAGAAACGGGGGGGGTGGCTGGCAGTCGGATGGGAAGATGAAAATGAGGGCGACTTTTTTGATACGTCGCAGTATTCGGATCCCTGGGAGGTTGGGCCGTCGTCGGACCCTTTTCAATCAAAAGGGACTCAATTCCTGGACCAGTTTGAAGGAAGCGGGTCGAGTCAAGTTTATGCATCAGCCCCGTCAATCGGGGCGCGCGTCGGAGCCTATGTAGGGCGGAATCTAGGCAGTCAGGAACCTGAGGTTAGGGACTTAACCGGGGTTCAAACTTCAGGTTTAGGAAATGCGGATTCCGGTATTGAGGCGTCACCTGATGAGGTCAGTAGCGCTGACTTCAGCGGGGAGGCGCAGGGATTGCCCGCAGTAGAAAGCTCCCCAAAAATCCCATCAGAACGCTTCTTCATTCAACAACTAGACGCGATCAGGGACAAGCTGTTAGCAAGTCTAGGGCTTGACTTTCCCCCTATCGTGATCCCAAAGTATGGAAACCTCAACTCCAGTGCTAAGAGCCTAGAACTAGAACGGGAAAAGCCACCGAACGGCCCTCCAGAGATTCTTGAAGCCCAGGAATTAACAGCGGAAATTAGTGGCACCCCAACAAAGATAAATCGATATGGACAAAGTGACTTCTTAAAGGAGTGGGCGGACATCATTGGCGAAAATGGGCAGTCGTCAGAAGGTGGTCAAGGAACGGAGGGGCAGAGCGGCGAAGACTTGGAAGCATCGGCTCACGATACGGTGCCAGGTGGCGCTCAGGAAATGGCGCCAGGCGTCGCGGTTACGGATGGGCCCAGCGAATTGCTAGCAGAAACGGAAAACGCAGCGGCTGCCAGGCTCGAAGCGCTTCTGGGGGGCGCAAGCGGATTGGAGAGCGCAGGGGAAGGTGTCCGATTGGAGGACCCAGCGACGGAAGACGCTCTTGACACTGAAACTACATCGGAGGCTGGCGCGCTGAGTGGTCCTTCGGGGTTGTGGCAAGAAAACAGGGCGGCTGCCCTTGACTTGGACAGCAGTGCGAGCACGTCCGATTTGTCGGGGGTCGACTTGCTGGACGGACAAGACGGAGGGGGGCGAGTGATTGCAGATAAAGAGGGGGAGGAAACAAATGAAGAGGAGGGGGGGGGAAAAGATGAAGCAGAGGGGCAAGAAAGAGCGAATTTGAGTGAGGAAGAGGCGGGCGCGCCGGCTTCCCAGGAGGGCAGCAGATTCGGAACGGGGGAGGCGAACTTGAGTCTAGAGGGAGAGGGAAGGGGTGACGAAAGTTCTGAAGCTGCAGAGAGCGAAGGGGACCCGGCCAGGAAAGGGTGAGCAACGCGTTGATTTTGACGGTCTCTACTGTTGCAAGGAGAGAAGTGGACATGAGTGGGGATCCGAGCGCCTGACACCCACAATTACAGCTGTCATGTTCTTGTTTGGACATATTGTTTCCATTGTCTCTCTGGAACGCACCAGCAGAAGCAATTGAACGGTTGGGCGCTGGATCGCTGGAATCTTTTATTGCTGAGACCTCTTTGCCAGGCCTTCTTTGAAGGCCTAGCACACTCGTTCCTGCATTTCTTCTGGATTCTCGAGAACCGCGCGATCCGCTCTGCATTCTGCCGAATCCTTGGATCCTTTGGCATGCTAGTCGCAGACAGTTTGAATCGATAATGCTCCTCAACAGGACCCTGCAGTGAGATTCAACATGAACTTCTTTTCCCTGCCCTAAACAAACTCCTATGGAAACTGCTGAACGCCTCTCTTCTGTTCCCCACTCGCAGGAAACCCCCCAACTATTGGCAGGACTTGGGCAACCTGCGGCGGGAGCTGCAATCGGCGCAAGCGGCGCTCGGGTTGCCGGATGACGTCATCCCGTCGCGACGCCAGCTCATCGCCATCCGGCGCTGGGACATCATGCGCGCGGTGCGGAGGCAGGGGGGTTTCCAACAGGTGGCAGAGCGGTTAGGCGTGGGGGAGGAAAAGGTGAAAGAGGCAGGGGTAGACTCGCCAGGGGAGAAAGTGAAAGAGGTGAGCGCTGAGGCTTGGTTACTTGTGTCGAAGCGGCATTTAAGCTCATACCGAGATGCACGTCCTATGGCGCTTACAAATTGTTCGGACAGATATCAAGGCGGAGCAAGAGTCGGGTTGTTGTGATCTAAGCTCATTTAGCAGTCCCCAGCTCGGATTGGTGCTGAGTGCGAAGAGCGACTTCTTTCGCCATCACGAATCACGCAAAAGTTGCCAAGGCAAGATGCGCTTTGTATCTTCCGAATACAGAAAAGCACGAGATCTAACCAACGCCTTTATCTTATTTTTATTTTTTATTTCCCCCCCCCTCTTTTTAGGTGCAAAAGGAGGAGCCAGCCCCAGCCCCGCAACCGCCTCCACCGGATCTGTCTCCCTTAGGCCGCTTGCTTAACCTTCTTGGTTTAGGCCCAAAACCAGATTCCAAACCGGAACCCGCAACCCCCGTGCGCGAACCGGACGCCTCCAGTAGTATCAAAGAACTAGATGCGGAAGAGGATGAGAGGATCGCGCAGGATGAGCAGTCGGTCGCACAGCGCTTGAAAGAGACTGTGGCGTTGGAGAATTGGGGTTGGAAAAAGGGGCGGAGGAGGGAGGAAAAGGAGGGGCTTCCGGGGGCAGACGAAGCGGACCGGCCGGAAGGTGAGCAGAACCGGAACGGGTGGGAGAGGGTCGTGCTTGCGAGCTAACGTTCCTCATTACTTTGCGTGCGTCCGAGTTAGGCTTGCTTGCCTCAGGAAGGTTTGAGGAAAAGAATTCACGTTTGGATGTGAGGCGTCTCGTGCCTTGCGAACGAACGCGCATTGAGCCCTGTCCTCGCAAAACAATTTCAAACCGTTAGGTGGGAGGTCGCCACGTGGCATTTCTCTTGAAGCTTCAAGTTTTTCTAAGTAAACTAACAGATTCTGATGGAGTAACTAACTAACTAACAACACGACAAAGGCTCGACTTGATGTGCCCTCATCCCGAAACACCAGTCACAGCGACCGCTCATTGTTTGCGTCATACACTGACGAGACGACAACAGGCCTGATTTGCTCATGCTGAAATGGTCTTACCTTCTTGCAAAGCACTAAAGACATCCAGCCTTTGCAGAAGGCTCTGCTGGAGGCTCCACCTCGAGGGAAGCGGAAACAAAAGGGGAAACGGAAACGGAAACGGCAACGGCAACGAAAACGGAGAGAGACACAGGCGGAGCCCTGCTGGGTCGGATCCGCTCGCTCGAGCAGAGCCTCGCCTCGACGAGGGAAGCGCTGCAGCACGATAGGTGCGTGCGCGTTCCTCTCTTCTCGCTTCCTTGCAAAACGGGGTCTGTTTTCGGTTTCACCACTCGCATTACCGCTAGAAAGCCGGCCCCCACGCCTGTAAGCGATCCCACGTGATGCACTTCTACTTGAAGGTTTGAATTGCAAAGAGAACCCTCTTCATACAGAAAGTTGCAAGGAACAAGGTACCGGGAACAACGACGGGAGAGTTGATTGTTTAAATGAAGACAAGGCGTCGAAAAGCGGGAAAGCCGCTGCAGTCGCCCCGGGTCTTGTATCGTTCAACATCGAGGAGCTCGTATCTCGGCTCGGCTAAGGAGTATGGTTTCGAAAGAACGTTCAGTGCTTGCAACTTTCTTGAGCTACCTCCTTTTTTTGTGCTCGACTGACAAAGAGTTGACCGTGATCATGCTTATTTGTCTGTGCGCGGGGCACGAGCTTTTAGGTCAAAATCCGGCTTCAGGCGTCCTTGGTGGTTGCAAGTTCTCGGTATCGACCCGCGAAAGGGAAGCCGACGTTATAGCATTTTCAGAGTCGCCTCAGCCAGCTTCAAAGGTAGACGATCACCCATCGACGCCCACTTTGAGTCCCCCAGGTTGGACCAAGAAACGCGACACAACTTTTGTTTACAGTACCTACAGAACGTCCAGACGCTCCACCAACAGTCTGTGACGTCGTGCGCGTGCAGGGAGGCTTTGGTCGGAAACCGGGAGTTTCTACGGGAAATGCGCTTGTCGACGTTGGACGAGCTCAGCCAGGTGAGACCACGCGTCCGTAATCGAGGTCGAATCCCGTCCGCAACCGCCTTTGGGACCCGTCCGTAAGTGAGGTCGGGACCCGTCCGAAGCCGCGCATGCCACCCCGTCAAAAACACCGCAGTACAGAGGTTCTCCGAACAGGTGTTTTGCCGACTCTAGGTCGATCCCTCCTATTCTTTCATACCGACTCCAGATAGATTCCTCCCTTCGTTTCATATTCAGAATGTATGAGCTTCCATTTGGGGGTAGAAATTTGCAATCACCAGATACGTCCAAAGTTTGTCACAAAGTGCGGTCCGTCCAGGATCATTGAGTCTGTCCGGGAAGGTTGCCCCGGAACGGTTCAAGAAGACGTTCGAAGTCAGCCCCTGAGGTCAAGAGATCCCGTCAAAACGGGTTGCGAACCTGTATCCTTAGTGCTGAGATGCGTTGGGTTTTGGTGACATGCACTAGTCCACAAACGAGGACTCTGGCAAGAGAAGTAGTTAGGATCAAATAGTCCATACAATGACTAGGAGCGGTTTCGGTTCGTTGATCAGTCGCATCCTATGCGAAAGTTGAAGAGCCGTCTGCTCGACCAGCACTAGCCTTTGTATTTCAAGATTTTGCTTGACGTAGTTTATTCGTGGCACATCAAGACTATCATGAATAAACTCTTAAGATCCACCTGAACGACGTTCCTTAGGGTTGAGGTTTTTCGAAAACTAAGAGTATTGAAACGTGTGTCTATAAGAATGGGCAAGAATGTTTGAGTAAGTATTGTTGAAAAGTGAGCTAAAAAACGTCGCTCCTGTTGACCGGCTCAGGTGAGCGACTCGCCCAGGTTCTGCAAAAGATGAGATGGCGCTTTGAAGTCCAAACCTGAGCTGACCTTTCTTTTGAAACGCAAAGAGTATCTAGACAAATCCTCCACGAATTGATCAGTGGACTGCCTTGCGCCGACGTTCATGTGAGCGACTCGCTCGAAACTGTTACGAGGATACAAACGACCTTCCCGGTTTTTAGTAGCGAAGTTTCCTGAAGTCATTTCTCCTTGGGACCAAGAGGATTAGACTTTCTGTCTAGGCTCGTGGATCGCAAACCTTTTTCGCATCTCTTGCGACTCGGTCGAGTCCGTAATGATGCGATGACGCTTTGAGGACCAAGCTACCGGGAACCGTGTTCTGAATATCATCTCTCTCTCTTTTTGTTGAACGGAAGAGCAAGAGTGGTTTGCATTCCCTAAAAAGGGAGCTAAGCGGAGATTCTCATGTGCGCCCTCAGGTGAGCGACTCGCTCGAGTTCCGCGAGGACGAGATGGCCCTTTCAAAGCCAATTTACTTGGAACTCTGCTCTGATTACCATCTCAAATTTCCCTTCTTGAAGAGTGGTTTGAGCTAAGCAGATTCTTTCGATGTGCGCCCTCAGGTGAGCGACTCGCTCGAGTTCCGCGAGGACGAGATGGCGCGCACCGCACGCAACCTGCGGCGCACGCAGGCCGAGATGCGCGCGCTCGCGGGGAGCATGGCGAGCGGGAGCCTCGGCGGGCCCGAGGCCGTGGACGCGATCCTGGCCGGCCCGGGAAATCCGGCGGGGAACCCGGAAGGAGTACCCGTCCAGCGGCGGATGGTGCGCGTGGTGTGGCCGCACGAGGGGCGGGAGGTGGAGCTGGCGGGGTCGTTCGATGGTTGGGAGGGGAAGGTTAGGGATGACCCGGTTTTGGAATGAACCTGTTGTGATGTTGCTTTTACTGGTGCGCTTTTGCTGTTTGCCAGGCCGACGTGGGCTTCGCAGGCGAGATTCACACGAGGCTCTGAGCTGCACAGGCGTGTGACGTGTGCTGATGACGTCACAAGTCGTTGCTAAGATCTCGACAACTTCTGGCCATGACGCCACCGACTCTAAACTACAAACGGCAGCAAGTTTGTGCTCTGAATGTCACATCCTCGCTTACGGAACTGCCTTCTTTTCGCTCGCTCGTCAATGAACGTTCTGGACAGAACAACACGGCGCTTTTTCTTACGCATTGCGAGATCCGCTTATGTCTGTACTTCTCTCTGCCGCCTTCTGGATATCTTGTCCCCCAGACTTCTTCACAGTCCGAAGAAGATCGCTCGCGAACATATGATATGCTGTCGGCCATACATTCCTTCGCCGGCAAAGCAGACTAAACGCGCGCAGCAACGTCCCCCATTGACTTGAAGCAGCCGACCGGTATTCATTACTTGCCCAAGAGCTGTCTAAAAGTCGGCTCCTCACGTCCGCCGTTTGCAGGTGAAGATGGAAATGTCGAACGCCGGAGTCCATATAGCCACGCTCAAGCTCCCCCCCGGACGATACGAGGTATGTAACCCGGTGCTATACGCTATTGGCCTTCAAATTTAGCAACCCATCGATAGCGACGTCCAAAAAAATTCTCCACGTTCCGCTTTCCAAAGCCCGACCTAGTGACTTCGTTATGTCTGAGATGAGTCGTTGAGCCTTTCGCAGCCACTCAATAGACTTTGCCATCTGGCTTGGTGTTGAGGGATGAGTCCGCGGCGCACGTACTTAGAATCGCACTTTGGTGGTTGGGTCTGGGTCACCCTGAGTTCGTACTTCAGTCTTCTCTTCTTCGTAGATTCATGGCCGCTTGGTAACTGGCAGTGGAACCACCACAGTCGGCTGCAAAAATGCAGGCGTTTCTTTTTCGATGTTGGGATTGGTTCGCGCAACCACCGTGCTTCTTTGCTCATGCGGACAACCTCAAATGCAATGTCGCCCCTCTAACGTGCACGTGTCTTTGCAGATCAAGTTCATCGTCGACGGCGTTTGGAGAGTTGACGCGCAACGCCTCATCACTTACGAAGATAACAACGAGAATAATGTACTGCAGGTAGTCTGAGGCGAGTGTCAATGACAATTGGTTCGGGTCTAGTGAGGCAATCTTTGGTAAGTAGCAACCGTCGATTGGGCCATTTACTTTGTCCTCACCAGATTTAGCCGAATGCATGAGCTTCACTGAAGGACGACATGTCCCGCTGTTTGCTATCAAGTGCTTTGAAAGCGCAAGCAGAATATGAAAGGAAGCTCGCCTATGATATGTAGATTCTTTGGATTTGCATTGTCAACCATGATGTATCACCAGCATATGATTTGTGAAGCGAGTATTGCATGTGACATCCCTGCCCGTGCACCGATAACGATACCAATGTAACTTAACGACAAAAAAGGGGTGTTCTTTTTTAGAAATGCCACAGCCATGGCCAAATGCACATAGGCCATCCTCTTCTGAGGCAGACGTGCATGCATGGGAATAATGTTCCCAAACCGATGCTCATTGATCCAATGAGCATGCATGGCATAGCAAGGAACCCCCTTTGCATCGACTCTGGCCGTGGGTGGTTGGTTCGTTCGCCTGTTGTGGAATTGTCAGTATGTATTTTTCTTTGCAAGTACTATGGTAGGTGTGAAATGGCGAGTCGATATATGGCAATCGCTTATACAATCATGTACTAATCTTCTGTTCTTTCATTAAAGGACCTAGTTCCAGAGATGTGTTGTAAATCCTTCCGGTATGTATGCATTTATGCTTTTTGACTCATAGGCATCTCAAAAGTTCAATCAGTTAGCTCCTCAATCAGTTTGCTCCTCGACCCTAGCATGCGCAGCATACGTTGCATGCTACATTTCAATACGCTCACTCATAATAGCCCTTTAGCTTTTACGAAACTAATCCAGTGGGAGTCTAAAGACAATTTATTTCCTCAGCCAGAAGAAATGTCACTTGAAAGAGGTGAATTACTGCATGTTCTTCTGCACCGAGGCGGGGTGCGCCGCCGGATCGAGCAATGCGCGTTGCGGCACGACGAGAAGCATTGAGTTGGTTTAAAAAAGATAAATTCAGGGAAATAAATTGCAAACATGATATTATCTGTTCAGCTTTGACGGTGCGCAAGAAGCCGGCAGAAGCCCTTCAGAAGCCTCGGATGGGCCCTGGACGGGCCTTGGACGCCCAAAACCTCTAACAACAATGGCTGGCGCCGGAGGCATCATTTTGAAATGTGCGGATATCAAATTCTCGCACTTAGGACTCGAGCCATCTTTTTATCTTTCTCATAATATTGATCGACAGCAAAGCCCCCTGCAGCTAGCTACCACTAACTTACCACTAAGCTGTACCGTGACTGTCTCGGTCTGTAAGAGATTGTAACGCTAATAAAACTCTCGTAACGTCAACAGAATCCAGATTCGACGATACGTCCGTCCAACACGGAGAAGACGTTACACTGCACGTACAAACATACGTGATAGGTACCTGACACACTCCGGGCATCCGCTGGACCGGGACGTCGAGCCTCCGACCGGCCTGTTTAGGGAGCGGACAAAATAGGTACCTACGACTCCACTTTCTTATACCTATACGAAACCCACCCCGCTGAATGAATCTGCCAGTGCGAAGTCCCCACTCCCCAGTGCCCTAGAGGCTGGGGCCACGCCGCACCCACATGCGAGTACGCCGTACGGTACCTGGGTATGGTTAGTCAAGAGAGGCCGTCGAGTCCTCGGAGGACGTCGTCACGAAACCGCACCCCGGCCTACGCTGTCAATTCGTCTCAACAAGATACTGACCACGTGAATCCGACCACGAATTCAATTTAACACGAGTTTAAAATGTCCTACCGGGTACTAGTGATGGAACTCCGGGCCGGGGATCAGTTCACCAGGCTGGACCGTACAGTTCAGATTGCGAACTGTACACTTCAGTTAGGAGAGTACCCGTACCTACCTCACGCGATGCGCTGACACCACCTGATCTATCGGCCGCATCAGGATAGGTATCGGAGGACCGAAATCAACGCACGTGCCTGGGCCGGGCTGATTGAGCGAATTAATTGCAGAGAATAAACGTTCCGACTCCCGGTAAAAGCTATTACCTAGTACTGCTAGTCCAGACTCCGTAGCAGTCGCTTTGCCGCCAACATCCATAACCATAAACTTTAATATTAATATGGATCTAATAGTAATAACGAAGAGGAATCCTCTGGTTAACCAACACTAAAACCCTAAGCACTAAATGACTCGCTCCGTCCAGGTCCAGGCCCAGATTTGCCCGGGGGCGCCTCTGCGCCCCGGCCCTCCGCCCGAGAGCGCAGGATAATTCCCGAGGGGCGCTCCGCACGCCCCGCGCCCGCACCTCTGGTACATAGGTACGACCAAACTCAAGTAAACATGTCGCAATGGTCTCATGTCGCAATTGGAGGCCGGAAATCGTGTCGCAGCGAACGTACCGAGACTTATGATTTCACAAGAGCCAGAATTTAGAAAGCGGCAAGCCCGAGTGGTTTCGACTACCGGTAGGTACCTATCCAGCAGCCGGGTAACCGGGCGGGGTGTACCGTGTGCCACTCCCTTGCCTCCTAAGGGGCTTGTCTCATAAGGTTCACAACCGGGAGACGGGAAAGGTTAGCTTGGTGGTTAGGGTGGGTAGGGGTGCGGAGCGCGTAAGAGTTTGGGTTAGGGTTTTGAGTTGAGATGCCCGGCGCTGTGAAGCTAAAGAGACAAGCCCCTTAGGAGACAAGGGAGTTGCCAGTACCCCGGCCGTAGTGACAAGGCTAGGGCCTAAAACTGATGCGCAAAACCCGGTACGTATAGGTATTATCCATTGATCAGCATACCGTACTGGCAGGCTGAAAGCCTGAAACCTGGGGACTTGCATGAGTGATACCGTATCCCGGGCCGGGGCCCGACCGCCCGGGTCTGGTTGGCGATACCGGTACCTACTACCTAGGTACCTGCAGTATTGTCAGGCTAGACCCCAAAGTTAGTAAGAGGCAAATTTCATAGTTGTCCCGAGTCCAGCGTGACGCGTTAGCGGCGTCACGGTTGATCGACAGTTTCAACTTTTCAACGTCAGTGCTGCTGCAGTGTCATTGGAATGATGCCGCTACGTAGTTGGTTGTGTTGACACCAGACATGAATCGGTCACCTGACACCCATGTGAATCTAAGATTCAGAAAGCATGATGTGGACATCGTCACATGATCACCTCATGCAAACTTTGCTGAGTTGCTGAGTTTGCATGAGGAAGCAGCTGAGCTCGCTGCTCCACTGGTTTTGCAGGGGTACCATGTTTCAGTTTCAATACTCGGTGCTCGCAGCTATTAGTATGTAGGTAGTGAGCAACCTTCGATATGTGAATACGTGCTGATCGACCTTTACCGTGCCATGGTTTCACCTCAAAGGGGCCTTCCTCAACCTGCCAAAAGTACATGGAAAACTCGTTGGATAGATAGAGGATCTGTTCGGTCCCGTGCACAAGCTTCTTCGCGGTCTCATTTCATCTGTTGGAGGCCGCCATTTTGATGGTGATGCCATGGAGCAACCGTCTGAGCTGTCACAGCTTCCGGGGGAGCTTCTTCTGAAGGCAAGTGCTCCTGTTCTACTCATGTTGAATGCTTCATTCTCCGGCTTGCATGTTGACTTGCCGTTGCGAGTTGCACAATTAAAGCACCTTCACCCTTGCGCAAGCATGCCAAATTGCCAGGCAGAATGGAGCCAACTTATCACATCTTTGGTGGCACTCTGAGAGCAGCGATATCTGTGATGTGGATTGCCAACTCACTCAAAGTCGCATTAGCTGGCAGCTTTAGGGTGGGATCGTAGTGCCTGAATCATGCAAAGTATATCTTTTGCTTCGATCACATATCAATTTGAAAAACATGAAAGACTGTGAAATGATTTCTTTCATTCACTGTAAGAAATGACTGGCATTTCATATCTGTATGAAACGCTCTTCATGACTGGCATGAGGAGCTCGTGACTGGCACATTGCTTTTTGTAAGATATGACCACAGTACAGGACTTGGACCTGCCAAGAACTCTAGTGTTGGTTGGTCTGGTAGAGATTCAAATCCTCAAGGACTTTTGGCCGACGCCATTTAGCACCTTCGTTGATTCCTGGTGCAGGTTTGTTTAATAGAGCTGGCTAAAGACTTGTTTAAGATATCAGGATATAATCTGAAACTGGCTCCTATTGTGAGCCCTGGCGCCTAAAATCTCCACGAGTTCTCAGAGGAGGTTATGCAGTGTCAAGGGAACCTCTCAAGGGAGTCACATCAATTCAAAAGGGCATTGGACGAAGCTCTTTTGCATAATGAGGGATCCCTCCCCCCCAGAATGTGGCAAGGTCAACACAAAAGAGGCTGTGGTATAAGTTTCGCTGTCCCGGTGCTTCTAATTGGTTGTCTTCGTGAGCATTGTCTGACTTGCCAGTGTCGAACTCCAAGACTTCTTGAAGTTCAGGTCATTGCCAAGTCCTTGAGCCTCTGATTTGGCTTGCATTGAGATTGGCCTCCAAACTGACCTGAAGCCTAAGGTTGACCTAGCCACCCTGTGGCTGCCTTGCAGATATTCCAAGGGCTGGGACTGCACGACTTGCTGACTGTATCTCAGGTCTGCAAGGCCTGGCACTTGTTAAGCTCCTCAGACTTACTCTGGCGGCCTGTGTGCTCTCAAACCTGGGCCCTGTGGGACACTCGCTTCCCAGACCCTGCCAGCCACTCTGAAACAGCAGGTAAGCTTAGCAGGACCCCTTGGTTGAAATTGCAGGTCTTACCCTCTGTCCTGGGGTTCTGGAACTCGTTTGCTGCTATTCACTTGTATGACCTTAACAGAGGCTGCAATGATTCAATCGTGATGCCACTGACAGTCCCCAAACCTCGCACCAACTCCCAACTCAACTCCTATGATATGCTGTCCTCTAGCAGGCACATTTCCTGAATGTCTAGGACCGGATGTGTCAGGAACGTCAGAAGCCTTTAACGTTAACAAACCAATCAATGATTCAGATTAACGCATCAACTGCTGTTGGTTGCTCTCACAGGCGAGGCTTCCCGTGTATGGAGTCGCGTCTGTCAGGATCGGTGGAAGCTGGACGTGGAATGTCGTCACCTTGTTTCCGAGATGTGCTGGCCGCTCCGGCAGGCAACCGCTTTGCGCCGCCTCGTCGAGCTGAACGTTTTAATCCTAGAAGTGAGGCCTGTCTTTCCTTCCCCCTTAGGTAACTATGCTTTCAACCTCCTTGTCCAGCTTTCCTCATTCCCTGCTTTTTGGTCAGGTTTACGTTGTTTTCAGCACAATGCACGCAACTACTGGAAGTGAGCTGCGTGTTCTTCCCCCATGGACCAACATTTGATTACAAGGCAAAGGCGATTGTCGAGGAAGGGTGGGGTCTCTCCTCCATGATGTTGTGTGGGGGTAACTTGAGGGGTCAATCTAACCAAAAACTCAGGAAGTACTGGCATCAGTCAAGGGCATAGCAGCAACTTGGGCAGGGCAACTTGAGCAAAGTTATCAGTGAATGATGCCGTATGTTAGTATTGTGATCGCTGGAGTCACCGTCAGCTGGTTAGCCTTCCCTCTAAATTCACATTGGCACTCTGCGTGCCAGAAGGCCCCTGGCATCCCAACCATAGCATACCAATTTCTGGTGGCGCAATATCTTACCCAGTTCTCATTTCTTTCGAGAACTGCTTTCAAGCCCCAGATGATTCCAAGACTTCTTTCGAGAACTGCTTTCAAGCCCCAGATGATTCCAAGACTTGAATTGACAACGCCAATCTTGCAACAGGTTGCGCAATTCTGTCAGTATGAGTGCCTCTGCAAAAGTTCTTTCAAATGTTTAGACTTATGGTTGAAAGAATCCTCATCTCGTTCGGTGGGCCATTTTCTGCAGAGGCCTGACACCAATCTTCATCTGAATCATTCAGAAAGTGTAGAAATATACCTAGCATTTCATTACCGGCCAAGCTTGAAGGTCTTCTGGGAAAAAATCCTGAACAGTCAAACCAACTTGAAAGGTAAGAGAGTCTTGTCTTTCATTCTCATTCCAGTGTCGCCAAAGGTGCAGCATCTGGCAGGTGTTTGAGACCTCTTGGAAATTGGTGAAGCTCAACCTAGAGGATTCAAAGTCCATAAACAGCATTGGTAGTAAAAAAAGTTTCTCAAATGATCGTTTTCCTTGGTTCGTCAGGAGGTACAAAGGCTGGCCAATCGCTCAGAACCCTTGCAAGCTGGCACCCGCTACTTTGCTCGGGAGGCGCTCCAGCGGCTCCAAAATCATTTGACGGTCCAAGAGATGAGTAGCTTAGTGGCGCTCCCTGCAAACCAGGTTCGTTAGAAGGCCGTCGTGGTCGCCATGAATTGAAGACTCGACTTTGTGGTCTGTGCGTACACCTACATCAGTGGTTCACACATGCACCCATCTTTCTGACGTCAACATTTGGGACGTGTCTTGCTTTTGATTGAAGTTTCCACCTACCTTGGCAGCGGTTAACACAGGATGTTAGAATCGTGCTTTTCCTCAGTCCGTTTGACCTTTTTGTCTGGCTCCCCTAGCTACTTCGGCCGAAACCATCTGGTTTCGGAGCTTAACCCTCCCATCATCTTGACCTCCTTGGTCAGATACTTAAGCTGCTCAAAGGGACACAAAATTGAAAGCCAATTCCTGAAAACGCCTCTATTACAGCTTCCTTGACTTAATTTGAAGTGCCTGAGCTGACATCGCTCTCCTTTCCGCAGCTGGACCAGCATCTGTTTCGAGGAGCTTGCTTGATTGCAAAGCTGAGGTGAGGTTGATCAGGATGACGATCCTCATGCTGCCTGGCTTTTCCACACAGCAGTTTTGACTGATCCATGCAAAGTATTCCAGAGCGGAAGTGTTGCAACACCATGCAACGTGTCATGCAACGTGTGGGGAAAGTTAGCCGACCTGTACTGTCTTCTCGTCTGCAGAGAATCGGCTTTGGTCTAGTAAAAGGAACCCTGATGTCGGAGCTTTTCTTGACGCACTGCAAGAGCCTTGGTCGACTATCGTGGAATGATCTTGTTTTCGACTAAACGGCTGCTACCCTGAGCAACCTTGAGGCCCGAGTCCGCCTATATCATCGTTCCGCGCCTGTGCATATGTGGACCACTGAGGCCGCCCCATTTCTTGCAATATCCTGGGGTTTACCATGGACCTTCTGTGGAGAACGTTCCTGGGGAGGATTGACGGCAACATTCACCTTTGGAACGGGCATTTGTGCAATCTGGCGACTTACAGGAAAGTCCTTTGACAGGACACTCAACGAGAACGTCACCTCTTGAAGGTTTGTTGTGTCAAATCAGGTCGTGTCCCTTCAGATATCCCGAGATTGATGTGGCGCAGCTGGAGGCTCACGTGGATTCCGTAGCTTCAGTTGTCAGAGCGCGCATCCGTCGGGACGTTGAGTGAGCAGCAACCGCGTCGAACCTGGTGCCTTACAGAATTTGCCACAGATGTTCTTTGACGAATCAACGGACCAAGGTTTGAGAAACCTAAGGTCAATAGCTCTTTAAGACTCTATGAAGAAGCAGGTCTGGTTTTCAGCATCAGTCTTCAGTTGTCGGAGGGGGCGTGCTTAGGTTTAATCCGCCTGGTGTGCCTGTGTTTGCCCAGCCTGCTTCACAATGTGGCAGATCCTCGTTTTTGTGACGACCCCGGACTCAGGCGGTCTGTCACCAATTTGGGGAATCAACATCCGGCTCCTCACCTACGAAAGACGTTTTGCTTCTTTAAGACCTCTGAAAATTGGTTGCTCGATTTGTGGCTCGATTTCCGAAACCGCTGCTTAAGTTCAAGGAGGAATGCGTGGCAAATCAGCCCGTTACGGCATGTAACGAGGCCATAACTCAAGCTCGATTGCCGTTGCTCAACGTTCTTGAAAGGGTGCTTTTCTCGACCGAACCTGTAAACCGGCTCGTTTTGCAGGGGTACCTCGGTCCAGTAGGTACCCAAACCCGAAACGGTCTTCCAAAAATACTCGAACATATCAAGCCTCCATAGAGTATATGTCGAAGCTCAAAAGAGTTGACAACCGCCCCTTTTGCAGGGTGACCCGGTGCGGGGGGCCTGCCACCCAAAGGGGGGCTCTAGCCGCGGTGCAGATTTTGAATGAGGCGCTGTTCGGTACGCCAGACGAGAACGCGGTTTCCGACGACGGGTTCTCGGGGCTCCAGCTGACTGGGAACACTCAGGAGTACTATGTGCCCGAGAACTCGTTTCTCAACAAGGTGCTGGAGGGGCGAAAGGGCATCCCGATTACGTGAGTGGGGCGGCCAACCATTATGACTTTCTCAAAGTTGATCCATAACCTGTTCGCAATCATGCGGACTTGGAACTTCCTGAGCCTGCACCATCTTCTCGTAATCCTTGATTTTCAACCGCATACCTATGCTACTTTCAAGCACCTTGCAGTCTACCTGATATGCGTCCAGGAGAATGCTGCATAGGGAGGTGGGGGGCTTTCTACCCCAGACGCGGTATAATCGCCCTCGTCGTGCGTTTCCGGGACTCTCTCTTGTGCGCTTCCTTGTTCGGAGTCTCCTGCCCTTTGTCAAAGATCCTGCTTTCCCGAGGTCGCAGGCTTGCCATCATCTATGCCACCATCGGACGGCTGAGCGGCATCCACGTGGACTGCATCGGGATACCGGCACACTTCCTTGTCCGGGTCGGATCCGAAGGGTCCCCCGAGGAGCGCTTCATCGACTGCTTCCATGGAGGCAGACTACTCACACGAGACGACGTTGCGCAACTGCTGCGGTGAGTCCCATGTCGCAGGCAGGAATGGTCACTCTTTGGTTCTGCTTTTCCTGCCGGTTCGAGTATTTCAGGGTGTTGACAAGTTTCGCGGAAAAATCCAGAGAACCGTCTGCCCAATGCTCTGGGGGCTTTGATGTCCTTTAAATGTTGGGTTTGCTTCGCATTCCCGGTTTTGGGTTCTGTCTTCTGATGTCCAAGTTTTGGGTTCGTCTCCAGATGTTCAAAGGGCCCTCAGAGCATTCTGCATCAAGACATCGACGACCCTTGTTCTCTTGGATTCCAAACATACCCTCTAGAATCTTGCATCCAACCCGGCAACACCTCAAGCTACAGCTGAGCTTGACAGACGAGCTCGATCTTGTCACTCTCGTGCAGGTCGATGGGGGTAGCTTATCAACGGGAACTCCTTCGGCCGGCTGCAGCTGTGAGCGTGTGGGCGCGCATGTGCAACAATCTCGTGGAGGCGTATCGACGGGTAAGCCCTTTCGGTCGGTCGAGATCCCCCAGACAAAGAAGACGCCTTTTAGATTCGTGTAGAGACGATCGCCGCCTCTATTCTGGATAGTCTGCAAAGCGATGGGGTAGGTTCAGATTACATCTAGGTTGAGTAGAGTGTTTGAATGCTGCAGGAATGGAGAATACTAGGGCACTTAAGTTTGTCTCGGAACTTCGTCTCGGAACTTCTGACATTCCTATCAAAATGAGATACTTTGAAAAGAATCCGACGAAAACAAAATATATTTAGATTCGTCAACTTTTTGTGGTGGCGACTCCAAGCCTGCTGAACGGAAAAGGATGTTGGCAACGTCATCTCTTACGGGGTCCCAACATGTTGTCCTCGGAACGTATTGGCGGTGATCAGTTGCGCGCCGGCCCTATTGCCGTATTGTGCGTCCGGTACGGTCGTTGAGCGTGCGTAGATTCGCAAAAGACGGAATGCCTGCTTGTGTCAGCAGTCCCCACGCGAAGGGTTGCCAAAAGCTAGAGTTCTCATCTTGCTGGCTTCACTGACCGTAATGTCGATCTGGACTGAGCTGTGCGGGGGAGTCTCAAGTCTCATGGACGATCGTGCCTAGCGGGAAGAAATGTTTGCTTCTCCCCCTCAGACGTTTTCGCTCTTGCCTGGAAGCGCCCTTGGCATCGTGTACTGACCTTAAGCTTTTTAACATCAGAATCGTGGTTCTTTCTGCAGCAAGAGAACGACCCTGAAGGCCGGCCCCAGATCCGGACGGTACAACGGCGGCTGCTGCGGACGCTGGACATGCTGCTGGCCGTCTGTCCGCACGAGGCGGGCGCGCGCTTCTTGCGGGTCAAGGTCAGGCTGCCACGTGGACGCTTATCTAACGAAGCTTCAATCCGTCTCGAATTATGTTGCAGAAGTATTGGTCGTGGGCGTAGGTGCAATTAACGTATACCTCATCGTTACTTTTGGAAGTGAAGAACGTACTTGAGAAAAGATCCGTTGTTCGCAGATTCACGACAGTTTTGGCAAGATTTTGAGACGCTCAGACTCGAACTGTTGGTCTTCCTAATGTTGTCGTTTGATTGCCGGTTTGTCATTTCTGACAAGCGGGTCGCCCGTTTGAGGACAGAAACACGCTCACACGAACTATCTAAGACCAAACGGTGCTTTGCTTTTGTCCCTTTGGAAGTTCGGCTTTTCCTTGTCTTCCTTCTGATCCCCTTTCGCTGCCAGGTCCCTTCATCTCCTGACGTCATGCTCCCGTCACCTCCGCAGGTTGAGCTTGCGTCACTCCAGTTTGAAGGGGCGTTGGAGGACATACAGGTAAGCTCGCCCTTCTGCGATTCTCCCGTTCAGAATTTTCCTATGCTTGTCTTTTTCCTTGAGAAGCCCGACTGGAAGGTTGCTTTGTAACAAAGTTTCTCGTTTTTTTATCAGCGAGCCGGACGCTTTGCTGGAGGGTCCGCACACTCTTACGAAACGGTGTACCGACCACTTGCATTGTCTTTCTCGCTGTGACTTGAAAGGCATGCGAAATGCGGGCGGCGCCCAGGAGACGGGTGGAGTTAGTATGTTGATGGGGGTGGTTTTGGGCGCAGAGCGTGTAAAGCTCTTGGTTTTGGCTTTTGCGTTGAAGACCCGGGGGACTCAAGAGTCCAGGTCAAACTGTGTGCAAAAGAACACACCAGCACACCACTTGCAGGCCCTTCTGAGAATGGAGGAGGCCACGAGATCCGGTCTCAGTACGGCCTTCTCTTTATCCAAACGAAAGAAACAGAATCAGCGACGGCGGGCAAGGTATGCGGACAAAGAAGACCGGGGAACTCGAACCTCAGGTCAAACGTGTGTTGAATGGAATTGACCAGCATACGCCTTGCAGGCCCTTCTGAGAATGGAGGAGGCCGGCCGGGAGACTCCCCCACGAGCACTGCTGCTCCAGTATGTGCACCGCGCGCAGGAAATGAAGCGCCAGCATCAGGTGGGGAACTTCTTCATCCTTCTTTTCGCATGGCTCTTGTTGGAGTTTAGCAGCCTGCTCTTGCCTTTTCGGTCTTCGTTTCCGCATCCTCCCGCCCGCAACGCTGATTTCTCTTTCCGTTTCCGGAAACAAGAGAAGGCTGTACCATCTTGTGACCAAAGCACGGTCTCGGGATGATGACCTCCGTACGGTCGTTGCTTCGAGGAGAGGGAAGCCACAGCTTGCGTAACATCCTCAATGCTCACATATTAAGGATTTTGTGCTTGCGCGCCGACCTGGGCCAAGACGATTAATCGCCGCTGGGCAATCATTCCACCATATTTTTTTAAAGTCGGCATCCTAAGCTAGTTTTCTTTTGCTCGCCTCTCTGCTCACCCCCCGGCGTGAAATTCTGGCCTTTGACCGCACCAGTTGCGGTATTTCGACTCTGTTTCCTTCCGCTATTCGGTGCTCCTCTTCTGACTCAAAACGTTGGTTTGCAACAGCCATTAATTGTGTAGTCCCGTCCATTGTTTGAGCCAGAATACTGACCTGTAAACGCACCTGATCTAATACTCCCGCCCCTTATCCTAGTCAAGGAACTGACCTGTAAACGCACCCCTTCGTTTATCCCCTCCCACCTTCGGAGCTAGAATACCGGTTGTGAACGCACCTGTTTGTGCATCCCACCCATCTTCGGAGTCAAGATACTGACCACTAATTGCACCTAACCAAGTAGATCCCGCCCATCTTCCGGGGTCCGTATATGCTTTCAAGCAAGTATCCTTGCCCATCTTCCGAGTTAGACACGGACTGTGACACGACCTAACCGACTTTTTCCGCCCATATCGCTAGGGCTGGTGCGAGGAAGTCCGCGCCCCGCGCCCCCCCGGGCTGCTCTACCGGGTGGGGCAAGTGATGCACCACATGCAGTACGACTACCGGGGCCTCATCTTCGGGTGGGACCCGGTATGTACCGCCGACGAAGAGTGGATCCAGGCCATGCAGGTGGACCGACTGTCCGGGGGACGCGCCCAGCCCTTCTACCGGGTGCTTGTCGACGAGCAGGAGAGGCGCAGCCAGTCTACTTATGGTGAGTCGGGGGGACAGTCGGGGGGACGATCGGGAGGTACTGTATAACGTTATCTCTAACGAGCAGGAGGGGCGCAGCCTGTCTACCTGTGGCGAGCGAGTTGGGGGATTGGCGGATCTCGGGATTGGGGGTAGATCTACCGGGGAAGGTCTTTGGGTGTATGGAGGAATGTTGATGACGTGTGGGTTGACGTAGGAAAGAAGGACCTTTGTTTCAGTGCCGGGTCCCTCCTTCCTGCATAATAAAAGGGCCAGGATTTCGTACAGTTGACATTTGGGGCTTACATGAACTCGAAACTCACTTTCCCACGGTCGTGGATCTTTTTCAACAGAGTTTGCTCTCTGCGGAGCTGAGTATTTGCTAAGACTCCGGGTCGGGAGGTATTTAGTAGGCTGAAGTTCTCTCGCACTTCAGCTCAATGAACTGTGAAGGATTTTGAGTGAAGGCTCCTAAAGCTTTGCGGGGGTCCGCCCCGAGATCGACGATGTGGATGTGAGTCGATCCGTTGCAAAGCAACCCCTCTCTGAGCGTTCAATCTTCATACGCTGTTCTTCAAGCCTAAAGTCTCACGGAAATTTTGCGCGCGTACAAGATCGTTCGCAGGCATGTCACTCGGAGGCACCCAAGTTGACATCAGCTTTCGGACTGCTTTCGAGTAACGCGCGGAAGCAAGTAAAGGCGTTCTTTTTGTGGAAATCAAATCCCTGCAGGAGCAGCCCATCAACGGATCTTTGATAATGCTTCCTCGCAGTGGCTCAGGAGAACATCGAACTGATTGCACCAACTGCCCAACCCTTGCAACTGGAGGAGTTTGGGATGCACTTTTTGGGATTCAGGTATGGTAATCCACTCGCCGTTCACTTCTGGGGCGACGAAGGTAGCCCACTTATCCGGAAAACCGTGCGGAGCAATCTGGTTTGGAAGCTTTTAAAGAAAACCGTCACGGAAAGGCATTCGTCTCTCACTAGGCACGTTTCTGCTTGTATTGGAGCTTAGGGTTCAGCGTCCGTTACAACCTTCGCTTGGTTGCCGTTTGATTTTGAGCTCGCTCCTTCATGCAAGCATTTCCCCTAAGGAACTTTTGCCATCCTTGATGTGGGGCTTCAAGGGGTTTGCTGACGGCTGCTTCGGACTTGACTGTTGCAACTTCTGAAATGACAGTTTGCAGAGGAAAAGGCGCCTCACTGGCTGTCCTTTTACCGTTCCTGCGGACTGTGCACTCAGATCTGAAGGCCCAGACTGCCACGTGGCAAGCCACTTCGCATGCCAGCGGCAATCTTTAGCATCGGAACGCCACCTGCGTTGAATTTGGTCCTAGCTTTTGATTACTTGATAAAGTTGCAGCGTGCCACCTGGTTGGGAGCAATCCTGGGTGAACGTTCATCTAACCTTTCTGCTCCTTCACACTTACCGTATGCCACTATTTGTTGAACTCAATCTGTCCATTTCTTTTTGGGCCCTTTCGATCTCACTTGTTGCTTGTCTGCTTGATCAGTGCCAACGGCGAGGGTAGCGGGGTCTATGTGCCAAACGCTTACTTGCGATACCGCTACCCAGAGGACTTTGCGTGAACACAGTTCCAGCGCGCTACAGACAGCGAACTGCGCTAATATTCACAAGCTGGACCAGGAGCCAGGGCTGCGACCGTATGCATGCTCCTCCATATCGCGCGCAGATCAATCATTGAGCTTTTGTGGTTATTGTCTAGAAGGAGTTTTGAGCTACGGTTTATTTGCGGGTAGCCCTCCACGTGTGCACAACCTCCACAATTAAGATAGGGATAGGGATAGGTATAGGTGCTTTTCAAAGTGCATCATTGCACTACGTTAAGCCTAGGGTAATAGAGACACGTGTTGGTTTATTAAGCATCTTCAAGATCATCGGGTCCGCTAATAGCGGGAACGAACAAGACTGCTACTCTCATCGACGGTTCATAGGGTAAGAGATTGGCTGGGGAGTCAAGCGGTCAACCGTGCCAGTATCTTAGCCGTAATCAGCGGATAACCGATGAGTTACGCTTTTGCTCTAGGTCATTTTTGTTATAGACGCAGTTTGAAGACGTTTTGGCACATAGAACTCTGTTTTGTCTTCGAGTAAGTTTACTTTTAACAATCACTGTTTCTCACAGTTACGTTAGTGATATAGGTGGGATATGTACTTCTCGTAACACTTGTCCCAATAGTTGCAGCCAATTGCAACACGTGCGTGCTGTATCGAACTTACCTAGATGGTGTACATCCAGGTTTCTGCAACTTCCATAAACATTCAACTCGCATGCTGAATTTGATACCGTCTACACAGCAATCATCTACATGGGTCGCGGGCGGCCATATGCCGATTGTGGCGTGAGTTCAAGATATACTACATATCCGTGTAATGGTTGCTTGCACGTACGTCATGTACATGAAGTGTTGTGCATGGGTCTTAGCTCCTTCCCTAAGGGATTCGTTATACTTCCAAGCTAGCGAAGCGATAGTATAGAGAGCGGTATGCCAGCCGCGATTCTCTCGTAGTCCCAATCCCATATATTGCTGCATCGTGCATGCACGGTCACACCGGGTACTCGAGTCTGGGCGCATAAATCTATGACCCAGCCGTAAACGTCGGATGCTGCATCGAAGGCTCGAGTTGCACCGAGAAGAACTAAGCTGCATGAGCGTGAAGCTTTCCTACTGGGAGTTGAATATTCAATTTGGACCAAAGGGGTCATATCATGCATTTAGCTGTCGATCGCAATTGAGATGTAAGTTGAGCTGATCGACGATATTAAAAGTACAATCTTCTTCATCTAAGCCATGCAAGGTCTCACATGTTCCGAAGCTCGCCAGACAATCGTCGAACCCCTTAACAAACCGCATGCCTTTTTCATACAAGCACCAACCCCAGGAAAGCGCGGTCGTCACGTCAATCAAAGCACGGACCAGTGGCTCCTCGCCAGTCCAAGTGCGCGGAAGCAAACGCCGGCCAACCAGTCCATAGTTGCCAACTCCCACGCAAAGCCCTCGAGCAACGCGAACCGGGCGGCGCTTCCTCCACGACCCGTGTCCGTTTCCGCAGACTCCCCTTTTGGAAGTAGCGGAAAAAGCACGCGCGCGCTGTCTGCAGAGTATGCCTCCAAACCGCTTCTCTGTTGGTCACGTGTCCCCACTCCGAAGTGGACACGTGTACCAGTCCCGTCTATCCTCTTCTCGACTACATGATCTTCTGCGTCGCTCCGCAGAGCACCTAACGCAGCCCTAAAGGAACCGTCCGTGGAACTTGGGAGGTCTCCCTCATCATTCTCCATCGTAGTTGTCATTGCCCGCGCAGAATCGAGATCGATGCCGTCTCCTAGATAGCTTGTTTCCCTGTTTTGCCGCTCCTCCTCTTCCCTCTCGAGAAGACGGCCTGACGTCACCGACTGCCAAGACAGGAGGGCCCTCGAGCCGCGATCCGCAGAGAGAGAGAACGTTGACGTTCGTTCCTCTTCAACGCTCTCCCCACGTCCCTCCTCTTCTGTCCCGAACAACCTTTTGGCGCAACCTTTTCGTTCGGCAGGGTGCAGCATCTCATTCCATTTGTTCCCCAGCGGAACCTCGTTCTCGTCTGCGAAGCATTCACCACTTGCTAAATCTTCCAGACCGTCACCGTTTCCTTGCCAGAGGGAATCATAGGATTCCGTTGATTCCGACGCCGGAACGCCCCCCCGACCAGCCAGGCCGGTCCGAACCGCTTGCCCGGTAAACCGAGGCTTCAGTGCAACTAGAGAAGACCGCCCATTGCCCCCACTCATCTGCCTCTTCGTAGGCGACATCGAAGCCGTCACTTCCCTTCTCACGGTCGCCTCTTTTTGCGCTTCCACAATCAAGAAACCCGCCTCTGTCATCTCTTCCCTTCCGCTTATTAAAGCCGCCCTTTCCTGCTCTCCCTCGAGCACCTCTCCCTCTTTTCGACCCTCTGGACCAGTTCCATTTCCATTGCTCCCAGCGGAAGGCCCGACAACTAGCCCCGGCTTCTGCGGCTCTTCAGCCACTCTCTCACTCACGGCGCCAACCTCTTCCGAGCCCCCTTCTTGCGCCCATTGCACTGTCTGGCCCCGCTCTAGGTCCTCAACCGTTCCTTTGCCCCCGTCCCCCAACCCCCCGCCCTCCAGAAAGCTTTCAATCGTCCTTTCCTGAAGTCGTTCATCTAGCAACCTGAGCTGAGCCACGAAGCCCGCGTTAGGGTTCGCTTTCCGCCGGAATTTGCGCACGTGGCGCTTGGCGTCCGCGTAGCTGAGCCCCCGCCGGGCCATAAGGTATGCCGTGCAGACGGCAGTACTCCGAGAGATGCCTGCGGACGTTCGGAAAGGAGCGTTCTCTGCGTACGGATCTCAAAAGAGTTTTCGAAACTTAGTTTGCAGGCCTACGATGCCTCAGGCAGAAGGATTGCTGATTTGCGTACGAAGTTGTCGATATATCCCACCTTCAGGTTAGAAACGTAGATCGAAAGGTGCCTGCACATGTTCGTGTTGAGAAACGAGAATCGATGCCGAGGTGGAGGACGTTGGCATCTTCAGATGCTCATCATCCCCGGACGTTAACCACGACCTCTGCATCCGGACACTGATGTCGGTGCAGATTTCAAAAGCCTAAGGACTCACTCGAATTTGTATGAAGCTGAACACGTTAGGACTGAACGCCACACACAATCAACGGACAGTTGCGCAAGCAAAGCCTTTCCACTAGTACACCTTTCAGTGGCCAGCAAGCAAGACATAAGAGGCAGCAGCTGAGCCCTAGCACATCTTGGATGCAACACGAAAAATGTTTTTGGAAGCTGTGTTGCTTGCTCTGGCCCGCAGGAAAAAACTCGTATTCCAGACCCTTACGTTTAGTTCTTTGAGCTTGCTCGCTTTGACCCTTCTTGACTTAGGGATGTGAAAACGCGTGAACAAGCTTACACACTCCGTCTGAGAATCAGGGTTCTTACCGGGTAGGGCAGATTAAGAAAGTTTAGAGAATCTCTTCCGACACAACTGTCTTGATTGAATGCCAAACTTCAGCGCTTGAATCTTAAAAAGCGCGTCTGCTTCTTTTAGCACAAAGGTGATCCCAGTTTGGTCTTCCTTAAGAGCACGATGACCTTGCAGTTTGCATTATAATGACTAGAAGCGAGGCAGGGATGCCCTACCTGCAAAGCAGTGAACAAACACCTTCCCCCGCTCTGCCTTGGCCTGCTCAATGAACTCAAACGCCTGGTCCCACTTCCCTGCCAGCTCCTCCCCGCACTCGCTCCAGTCTTCCACATCCAAAACAAAGTACTGAAAGCCTATAAATTGCTCGGGGCGTCCATATGTGTCCATCACCGGGAGGATATGAGTGACGCCCAGTCTCCTGAGATTATACGGACACAGGGCCGGGGAGCGTCCCCCGACCAGCAGGCCGCCGTCCAAGTATGCCAGGTCGTTCTTCCAGCGACAGTAGGCGTTTGCGCACGGAAAGCACGCCGTCTCTTCATGGTGTGGGGCCCAAGCAATCTGCCCTTCGTGGCCGAGACTTCTAGGAGGCCTGGCAGCCATATATGTGCTGGTGGGAAGCTGAGTGACTATGATCAAAGCGCAATTCAAGTCTGAGCTGTTTCTGAGAGGTGGCTAGGGGTTCAGCTTGCCGCCGCGTGCCGCCACTTTGAAAGCTGCTCCCTCCATCTGGCGCACGTCCTTACATTGAGTTGAATTGTGCCATTCCCCCAGGTACTATGTTTGTTCATGGTGTTTGAATCCGCGGGCCCGCCAATCGAGGTAGCGGCTGCGCGCAGCCGGGGCCGCGCCGCGGCCGAACCGGGCCGCGCGCAGGGTTTCGGCCCACATCCAAGGTTCCAACGATCTAGATCGGGTCATATTCAGAGTTTGGGTACACGGTAGATTCGCTGAGGTTATAACTTCGTGGCTTTGGACGGCTAAGATTCATGAAGAGACATCTTCATCCATCGACGCCTTCGATAATCAGTTGGTTACAGCCAGGCGGTTTGCGACTTAAAAACCCGGCTTCATCAGGCTTAACCCTGATTAAGCGTCAATCCTGGTGTTCACTAACCCAGGTGGTTTAGTGTCCGTCTCCTTGTGGATCCCCAGATTCTAGCTGCGAACATCTGGGCCGTGGACGTGTCCACCTCAGCAGCGTGGGTGGCAGACAGATTCTGTTGTCCGCATGAATCTCCTTCGCACAAGGAAGGGTGGCTGCATTGCTTGCGCGTACCTACAGATCAGCACCGACACAAAACAGCGCACAGATCTCTGAATAAGTTCAGGGCGGCCGCCTTCTTGTTGTGTTGGTACGTTGTTACGCAGGAAAAGTTGGAGGTGAATTTACCTTGTGGAGCTGGGAGACGGGCGCAGCAATGGCAGCTTCGATGTCAGCTGCGGCGACCGCCTCACAGCTGACGTTTTCGTCTTGTACCGCTTCGGTGTCTTCCAGAGCCGAAAGCCGGCCACAGAGCGTTGCTGGCTCGTGTAGATATAGCAGTCGCAGAGGGTTTTTGAATGGAGCGAGCGATGTGTTGGGATCGGGGAGCAGTGACGGGATCAGGGGACGGCAAATCGCGGCTCCGGTTGTAAAGAGACAGGCAGTTCGGACGCAACGCTTCAAAGTCCCTTCTGCTGTCTCAGATTCAGGCTTGGGGCAAGCAGATACCGATCTGAACCCTGATGCAGGAAAGGTGAGGCTTCCTTTCAAGCTATCCCTTTCACAAGAATGGAAGAGAGCAGCAATGTGAGGTCCTTAGAAGACTGAGGAGGGAGACTGACAAGTCGCAGATTTGGCGGTGTTTAGCATGCACTTCCATTTTTACCTTGGATCCGATTGGACTCTATTTAAAGGATGAAGCGTTTGCTTTCCTGGCGGATTTGATCAGATCGGACTGACTGTAGGCTGTGTTGGGAGCCTTGTTCTCTCTTTCAAGTTCTTAGCGCATTCCTTGCCACGTCGTGCATGAATATTGAGAGGGACAGATTCTCTCGATTTATCCCTGTACGCAGCGTAGGTTAAATCTTCTTTTGCTGGTCATGTTGTGGAGCTGCTTTCGCCTCATGAATCATTACAAGAAGCCTTCCGAACTTTGCCGATTCAAGGTGTCCCCCATTCTTTCTATTGCGAAAAGGCCTACGTGTTTGCAGAATTAGTTTGAGTAGGCAGCACTTGCCTTTTTGACACTTCTTTCAAAGATTCTCCTTACAAGTCCAGCGACTCTCATTTCCTGGGCAATTGTTTACAAGAGCTCGTGCTGATTAGGCTGCAGCCCATTTTGCAGCTGTTGTGTGAAATCTGGCAGTGAGTTGGATATATTGAGGCGCCATTTCTAGATTGAGCAATTGCGAAACATATTCCTGCCACCATTGTGGCTCCGTCAACCTGTTAGTTGAACACACACGAATGCGTCGCAAAGTGCATGTTGAGCGCTTATGACCTCCCTATCATCCACAATGCCTGTTCTCCGATGATTGGCAGTCTTGCTCGTACCGTTTTCTGCACATATTCGCCATGACTCGCCTCCGGGCTGCTCAGTTTGGCATGTTTTGAAAGTGAGCTCTGCAGTCTTTCTGATTAGGGTCTTGGTAATGGTGAAGCTATGTTTGATCAATATCTCTGAAGGATTGAGAGAATGGGTCGCTGGTTTGGCAATTGAGCAACGGGGTGGCGCCTCTATCGAACACTGTGCAGTTTCAGTTGGAAAACCATGTTTGCAGCCAAAAATCTCTTTGGTATTGTATATATGCTGTGCTTGGTATACAAGGATTTGCAGTACTCAGTGTCGCTGCCACTTTGTTCTCCACTCGCTGTTCTCGCGAGCATGCTGCACACATTGGTGTCTGCAGTATAAAGGCCAGTTCGTCTCGGGAGTCTGTTGTGTTCCTTCTGATGGAAAGCTGACCCTTCAGAAAAGGTGGACTACTTCATTCCAAACAACTCACGAGCTTTCGTAGTCTACTTTCACCATGAGACAAGAAAAATTCTGGTCTTACAATCGCGCATGCAAGGGTAGCTGAAGGCAATTTGCAGATCTCATGCTCATCAAGAGGTCAACTTGAGGGATCATCATAGCGCTGATTGTGTGCCTTGAAAAGGACTTTTGATTTGTTTGCAAGTGGCGCTGACAAAACTCCCTCACGAACATGAGACTGGTGACTCTGGCCCGGAAAGGTCCTGTCAAAAGTTTAGATTGTGAATGCTATTGACCTGGTTGTCAATCCTTGTGTGATGCAATTTTGCTGTCATCTACCGCACAGTTTTCACCTGAGCGCTTCCTTATGAGTGACACACGGCCCGAATGAAAATGGAGGAATCTGGAGTTCAATCAGTTGCGACTTGGCAATCCTTACTCTATTCCAATATTGCTCAAATATTCCAATATTTCTCAAATATTCCAACATTGCTCAAATATTCCAATATTTCTCAAATAGCTGATGCCTGGCAGCACATTGTCTTTCTTGTTACTTGGACGTTGTCAGGAACAGTTGTTGCTACTGAGGGCTCCAATCACTAATTGTACTCCCCATCTCTTTGCCTACCGTTGAAAGTGGTGGCGCTTTTGAAAGATTCCTTCAGTGTAGCAGAATTTCAATATCCGCTCTTCTGCATAGATGTTTGGTTTTGCATTTTATCCCTACCGCTGCTGAGGCCTGTACAGCAGATACACTGAAAGGTGAACTCTCTTGAGCGTGGCGGCCGGCGAAAGTCGGCGCTCGTGTGGTTACTGTCAAAGTGCTATAAGGCCACGCCACACCATGTAGGAATTGTACAGTCCTACGTGCTTGCCTTCAATGTGCGCCGCTTCAAATACCCTGCCCTTTTCTTTTCCTCGCATAAGTCTTGCACTCCAATACAATCGCCGAGACTGATGCGATCGCTGTCCTTGACCAAGCTCTTTTGTCAGCAAAGGGCATCTGACCCAACTCACATTTGTCCCATTGGTCCAAAAGCACATGACCTCTTAGGGCCTCAAAGCACGACACTCCCCGCCGCCTCTCAGTCGCCAAGGAAATTCCCTCCGCTCATTGCATCCCTTCCCGTCGGCAGAGCGTCCTCGGAATTATTCTGGGGGGCGGCGCCGGCACCCGCCTCTACCCCCTCACCAAGAAGCGCGCCAAGCCGGCGGTCCCCCTGGGCGCCAACTACCGCTTGATCGACATCCCCGTCAGCAACTGCATCAACAGCAACATCCGCAAGATCTACGTCCTCACACAATTCAACTCCGCGTCCCTCAACCGGCACCTGTCGCGCGCCTACTCCAAGAACATGGGCAGCCACAAGCAGGAGGGCTTCGTCGAGGTGCTGGCCGCGCAGCAGTCCCCCGAGAACCCCAACTGGTTCCAGGTACGTACGCAGAGCTTTGCGCTGTCAAGAAGCTCTTAGAGCGAAGGGTGACTCTGTCTTTTTCATGTTGCTGCTGAGACTGGCTGTCAAATTATACTGGGGTTTCGCATGAAAGTTTCTCTGCGGACTGCTGCTGCAACCTTTCCAGTAAGCCAAGCCCTTTTCGGGTAGCCCACTTAGTGCTTCCTTCTATCACCTTACTCGTACAGATGGAAGCAATTTCTTCGATGCTCGCCTGACAATTTGGTGCTAAAGCTTTCAGGGCTCAATGGCAAGACTTTGATGTCCTTCATGAAGAGGAGTCATCATGGAAGGGCTCTAGTGCATAGTGTGTAGCCTGCATTGACTGGGATGCGTTTTGACTCATGTGCACAATCTGAACGCGCACTTGGATGACCCCTTGACAAAACGGCGTCTGGCACGGCAAGAACGCCGCTTTGGCGTAGCCCGCTCGGGGAGTGCATAATCCCAGAAGTCCTATGCCTGGTTCGAGCTGGGCAAGGACAAGAGACTCCTCCAGACTGCTTTCAATTAGAATTGGGATGCTGATAAAAAAGAAACGGTTTCAATCCAATCTCTCAAACCGTTTTTCAGGGTACGGCGGACGCGGTGCGGCAGTACCTGTGGCTATTTGAGCAGGTCAAAGACATCCAGGAGTTCATCATTTTGGCCGGAGACCAGCTGTACCGTATGGACTACCAGCGCTTCATCCTGTGCCATCGCGAGACGGGCGCTGACATCACCGTCGCGGCGCTCCCGATGGACGAGGCGCGCGCGCAGGCGTTCGGGCTCATGAAGATCGACAACAAGGGCCGCATCACCGAGTTCTCGGAGAAGCCCAAGGGAGAAGCGCTCAAGGCGATGCAGGTCAGGGGTTGTTTATGTCGAAGTTTTTGAATCTCAAAAGCAGCCGCAACAGGAAGGATGTCAAAGTTCCGAGTTATGGCGTAAGACCTCCGTTTGTGTTAGCCGTCCGGTGAGGGTCCAGCCTTTAGAAACTCGCTTCATCATATCCTTCCGATAAAAAACCTGCAGAGGTTTTTTGTGTGAGTTTCTAGCGAGAGCGCTTAGCAATGAGAGTTGATGAGCTGGCATGAATGCTCCGGTGGCTCCGTTGTCTTGCTGTCTATTCGCATCATGCGTAAGATGTTGTGGTGCATGTGATGGCCTGGGGGCTTACATCAGACGCTGGTGAAGATGCGTACGATTGTTTTGTGATTCGTCTCACTGCTGACCTTGCCCTCCTTAGACCTTCCGATCCGTGTGCTTCAAGCTTGGCAAGGCACCTCAGAAAAACGAGGACCGTCTGAAAGTGGGCTCCCAAACAAATCTGTCATTTGGCATAACTTGCAAACCACAGCCTTTGACTCTAACCTGCTGTTCGCGCGGCAAGAATTCTCCAATTTTTCAGGGTTTTCCTATCGGTGCCAAAGACCCTCTGGACATGTGGAGTCATATATTACCTAATATCTGAATGCCTGAAGCTTTTCGGGTCCAACACGCACGCCTAAACACAGTTCAACTCAAACGCTCAAATCTCGTTTTTTCCAACCCGGGAATGTTGTCTAACCTTAACCCGAAAACTCCCGCCAGGTGGACACGACGGTGCTGGGCCTGGACGAGGAGCGCGCGAAGGACCTGCCGTACATTGCGAGCATGGGCATCTACGTCATCAGCCGTGACGCCATGCTGCAGCTGCTGCGCACCGAGTTCCCCGAGGCCAACGACTTCGGCAGCGAGGTCATCCCGGGAGCTACCGAGAAGGGTATGAAGGTGGGCAAAACACTCCCAGTTTAGTTTGTGCTCCTTGAAAAGGTTGATTGGTAGTTTACGGATGGTGCTTTAGGGCCTGCTTTTGGAACTCACAAGAAGTCAACGACTTCGGCAGTGAGGACATTCCGGGAGCCACCAAGATGAGCATTATGCTGGGCCCAGTCGTCCAGAGATCTTGCTTGGGTTGTTCCTCGGCCAGGTCCTTCGAGTTGTCGGATAATAGGGTTTCGAGGGACGGGTTTGGAGCACTGATGCGCATGGAATGGAAAAGACGGTAACCAGTTACTGGTATGTACGAACAGGCGCACCGACGAAAGCCTGGACCTAAAACTTAATCCTGCGCTTTCGCTGTTGTGCTTACCTACATGACCTTTCAAGCGCAACAGGAGAGAACAGAAGCGTAAAAGCTTCTAAAAGGTTAGCAGCAACGGGGAATATCACCTGACACGTGGCGTTTGCGCTCGTCCGCAGGTCCAAGCATACCTGTACGACGGCTACTGGGAGGACATTGGCACCATCGAGGCGTTCTACCACGCCAACCTGGGCCTGACCAAGCCGGAGCCCGAGTTTGCGTAAGTGATGTCAGACCGCTGACGCCATCCCGCATCGAGTGTGCTGCTTGAATGGTCCACGTCTTGTTCATGAATCTATTGTGCCGAAAAGTCTGGTGACGTCTTGTCTTTTCGAGGAGGCGGATGTAGAGGGGATTGCGGGCGTGTCCTTGCTAACAGGCCGTTCGACATTAGAATTGTCACGCCGTTTGAACCCTCTACCGATGGCGGATAACATCAACTCGCGCTCAGTCGTTTGACCCAGGTTGTCGTCCTCGGATCACATCAGATCTATCGTTGTTGATCAAAGGCCCAGGCGGATCACCGAATGCAGGCTCTCAACGTCCGGCTAGTCCCGACGGAGTCTCACCTGTTCCCGTATGCTCGGCAGTTTGTACGATCGGTCTGCCCCCATCTATACCCAGCCCCGGTATCTACCCCCGTCCAAGGTGCAGGGCAGCGACATCTCCCAGAGCGTCATTGGCGAGGGTTGCATCATCAAGGTGCGGTGCTGACGTCACGTCGCCTTCGGTCCTGCTGTGTATTTTGGGCTTGGTGATGCCTTAAGCCTTGAGGCGAATGCTCTTACTTCGCAGGAAACTTCGCCCCGACTTTGGGCCGAATGTTGGCTGTTGAGGTTTCGAAGGGCTGCTTAGAGACGTGGAAAGAAAGGCGCTCTAGGCCTTTCCAGCTCTACGTTTTCACGGCCTGATGCTTACCGATTGTTTCGAGCCTTAAGGATAAAAAGACGCTGTCGACCAGAAGGCCAGCAGGGCATGCAGCGCCTGATTGACGCGGCGGTGGAGGACGTGCGCTTGTAAAAGCCCCCAATTTGAGATTGATCAAACTTGTATATTCGTCTCCGTGGGTTCAAAATGTAATGCGTTGGTGCGGAGATCATCTCTTTCTGTTTTGCATCTGCTTCCGGGAAAGCCTCGCATCCAGGGGCAGAACCTTCTGACAACGCACCGACCAGCGGCAGCACATCTCTTGCATTCCCTTGAAATCGAAAGCGACCGAACGTGATCCGCATTGTGATCGCCAGGTTTCTTAGATACGGCAGCCGTCTGACTCGAAGATCGAGACTCGAGGAATGAACCAAGCGCTTTCTCATTCTCAGGAGAGCGCCAAGGTGCACGGGTCCGTGGTGGGCCTGCGCTCCTGGATTGACCAGGGCGCAATCATTGAGGACACGCTACTCATGGGCGCTGATTATTACGAGGTAAGAGCATCCCTGACCATGCGAAGACTGGCCGTTTCCGCTGCTTTTTCTCGTGTACCGTTCTTGCTCTTTGCGATAACGAGCAACTCTCAATAGGGTTTTCCCGAAAGCGGATTGCCAAGCTCTCTTGTGAACAGATCTGCAGTCGCGTCAAAGCTTTCCGAGAGAAAGTTATCTTCCTCTGGAGAGCGGCGCAAAACAAGTGCCGTCGCTTTATACCGGGCTCTGGATCCGATCGATCTGCCTTGTTGGGTCAGACTGACAACGGCTTATCTTTTCCGTGGCTGAGCGCTCGGGTTTTCATTGTCTTTATCATCTTCCGCTGTTCCGCTGAGCATTTTCGTGGTTTATGCTGAGCGCTAAGTTTTCCGGTGAGTCTTTTGTCGAGGCCTGAGTTCTTTGGTGAGTTTTTCGCTGATCAAGGAGCAGCGGGAGAAGCTGGTCTCTTTGCCCATGACGTCAGCTCTGACCACCGCTTATCTTTCCGAGACTGAGCGCTGGCGATTCGCCCTTTCTGCAGACGGAAGAGCAGCGGAAGGAGCTACTGGCCACATGCCGATGCCAGAGTCCAGTTTATCTCCTTGTGACGTCATCTGTGCTTTACGATTGTCTTTCTCTGAAACTGAGCACTGACAAATCCGCTCTTGCCCCAGACGGAGGAGCAGCGGGAGGAGCTGTTGGCCAAGGGCCAGATCCCCATGGGCATCGGCAAGGGCACTATCATCAGGAAAGCCATCATCGACAAGAACGCGCGCATTGGCGAGAACGTGCAGGTGGGCACTCTCAACCCTTTCTTTCTTTCAATTCTTTTCTTCTCCTTTTGTGTCCTCCACGTTTTCCGCCGTCAAGGGTCTGCCTCTGCTGTTCTTGTACGGAAGGCCTGCTTCCCTGTGCGATGCATGGGGCATCGTCATTTAGATGCGGGTGTATCAGATATAAGGACCTCATCGTGTTGGGCAGTCATGCTCTCCTAAGAATTGAACGAACATAGGAGTTTAGAGCTGGTCTTGCCCCTTCTTGCACGTTGTCGGCAGTTCCGTTGATTTTCTAAATGAGAATATCCTCGTTTTGCAGATCATCAACAAGAACAACGTTCAGGAGCAGGAGAGAGAGACGGACGGGTACTTCATCAGGTCAGGTATTGTCACCGTCTTTAAGGACGCCACGATCCCCGCTGGTACCGTTATCTAATATACGACTCTTGGATAGATTCAGTCATCCGTCTCTTACATGGAGTGCCAGCTTTGGTGGAACCATGTGATGAGGCTCTGAGGTTACCAGAGGGGCTAGGCAGCTCTTGCTATCTTGGCACGGAGCTATGTCAGAAGAGACCCTAGCCTGCGGCAGTAGTCAAAATACTGACAGTGTTTGTCACTCCCGGTTTTGCTTAAACGTACTGCCCCTAGCTCGACGCTCTTGGCGTGGCGTGGGACAGGCTGCGAAGTGAAAGAAAACTCTTACTCGCTATGGTTGCAATGTTTTTCGTGCAACTTACGGGCTGACTTCTGGCTATTACAATTTCAAAACGTCGTTGCCCTGAACCCACCGCAAGTTGCACATTACGCAAGATGCAGCCCAGGATTCCAAGGCATATGATGAAGTATACACATGCTGATTGACGAGTACATCGCGTTTGCTTTTCAAGTTCAGCCTCAATGTCAGTATGTTCCAACAACGCTGTGCTTGGTACATATGCTTATATGTTTGGATCAGCCCGCCTCTGGTGGCACCTATTACAAATGCAGTGACTTCTCGCACATATATATGCCAGGCCTCTGAATATTATAGGCTACTTACAGTAGTCGGACAAACAAATGCATTTATTTCCTTGTGGTCCGTGGAGATATGGCCCGTTGTCTCTGTCGCACAGTCACAGGCAGCAACATACATGCATACAGCTGTGACCGGCCTACAGGCCGGTAGTTGAAGTCGTTGCCAGGTCAACGATAGTCAGCAATTATTATGTCGTCATCGTTCCGATAATGTCGTATTCGGCGGCCAATCCACTCTACTAGCGAACCAGCCGGGTCGCCCAACGAATCCCCCGGTGGCTTCGGTCGAGACCTGCGTTAAAGGCAGCGGCAACTTCCGTCACGCCGCCAGCCGTACAGATGTGGAAAGTCAGCTTCTGCAGCTTCAAGAGCAACCATATGTCATGTATGAGTTCAAATGCGTTAGGCCTCACTCTCAGGATGCTGCTCGGCAATGCTGCGCATCTGCAGATTTGATGATCCGTTGACTGCAAAGGGGCTGCAAAGTAACTTCAGAACAGCCAGTTCTTGGACGCAGCTCGTCGACTAGAGCTTGGAGCCACTTTGACTAGAAGAATCCAACAGCTGCAGTCTCACATTAGTACACACAGGCAAACGCTCGACACTTGACGAATCATCCCGGGAAAATACCAGCTAATATGCTGGTAGAGCTGATCGGAGTGGTGGGGACCAACACTAAGGACCTCAATCCGGAACCTTTGTCTTGGGCGCTGCAAAGCAGCAAATTACAGTACCGACTGAAAAGTATAAAACCCAGCTAGCAGATCCAACTCCTCCATTCTGTCAGCTCGCAGTCTCAGATTCACTTCCATCTCAACACACCAAACCTCCGCCCGCCAATTGCTTTTCAGCTATGGCTATCAACAAAGGGACGAGAAAGTCTGGCAGCGGACTCGCAGTGGGGGGGCTCCTCCTGGCTGCGCTGCTAGCTGCGGTGGCCCCCCCCGCTCTGGCCAACCTGGATCCTGCCCAGTGCCCCTTCGAGCTGGGTTACAACCCGGTGTTCAATGCGGATGGCAGCGTTCTCTCCTGCGTAAAAGGTGAAAGAGTTATTGGCTCTGGCTAAAAAGTCTTTATTTATGGCTTCAAACATCCTGTCTTTTCGCAAGCGTTTATGCTTGTTAAGAGGACGGTAGGTTTGGATCTTGGTACTGAAAGTGCAGCAAGATCTTATGGCCTTTGTTGACTGGCTTCAGATTGGTTGGGTTCACAACCGGTATCGGTACATGCCTGTTGCAACTGAAGCTGTTTGGTCAGATTCGTTTCAACCACCGAATAATGGCCAGCTGTTCCAAAGAAGGATAAGATCTGCTCAGGAAGAGGGCGCGGCGCGCGAAACTTGAACCGGTACAGAAGGTTGATGCGCACAGATGCAGATCAAGGGCCTTCCACCCTGGCTGGTCCCTTCCTGATCTCTGACTGTGGGACTTCCCTCTACTGACTTCACCGGTTTCTGGCCTGCTCCCCTTCCCACTCAATATTCCGACCATCCTATGATTCAACCCTCGAACGTTTTTTACGATTGCGGTATCTCCTCGTTTCCAGTACAATCAGGAGTCGCTCTTCTTCAAAAACACCGCCCCGAAAAGGTTCGGAAGACAATGCCCACGTGATTTGACCATTCAATTTCGGTTTTGTTTGACCGTCTCGCTCCTTCTTGACAATCTTCCTCCAGTCTAACCTCGCCTTTCACCCCACTTCCTAACAACCACAGAGAGAGGTCAGCGTTATTCAATCTCCGTTCGTGGTCGTTTCAGTGACGTTCTACCAAGCGAGTGTGGTTCACATCCGGTTCGATGGCTTTCAACAAACGTGGTCAAAAGCAAAAGCTTCCTCTGTTCAATGGTTCTCCAGCTTTAACCTCGCCTAAACCCCTGCAGGTTCGGAGAAGTTTGAGGTCGATCAACCCAATGGCATCCTCGCGCGCTCCCTCCGCGGCATCGGAACAAGCCTCCAGTCCATCCAGATCGCTGCGACGCAACTAGACCTGGCGACTTTCGCCAAGTTCCAGGATCCCCAAGTGACGTTCTTCCTGCAGGACGGCGTCCCCCGCACTGCGGGAGACCCCGTCCTGGTCGCCTTTTTGTTCGACCCGGCCGTCTTCACGTACGCGCCTGGCGTGGACGTGCACAGCATCTTTGAGGTGAGTTTGTTGGTACATATATCTTCGTTTATGCAAGTTGAGGTTTGTTGGTGTGCGTCTCATAATAATCGGGATGTCGGTTGAGGTAAATATGGCTTGGAAGCTGAATTCTTTCTCCTGGTTGTCAAGCGTGCCCGAATTGTAACGGTGATCAAGTTTTCTTCAAGACTTTTCCAAGTGGTTCAGCTCGAGATAAGCGATCAGGAGGTTTACGTCCGGAAGAAACATTCTGGTGTCTCAAGCATTCAGAGCTCGACGGCTCGTCCATCCGCTCATGCCAAAGGTCTTGATATCCGTCGCTCGTCCACAGCAACGAAGCCACAACGTTTGACTCATATTCTTATGACGTGCTCTTTCTTACTGTACTGTCTCATTGCAAGAATGTCTGGAAAAACGCCCCGGTTTCGCACCTTGTGGCAAGCCTGGATACGCATCGACCGCCCCTGCTTCGCAGCTGTTGCACCATTCCTTTGCGTGCTTAGCATTCTCGACTAGAACTTTCAACCTGGTGTTAAATGTCATTTCTGACTTACAGGTGTCCAACTACAAGTTCCTGGCCGGCAGCCCCACCAGCGCGTCCCTCCACGTCAGGCTCATCACGCAGACGTCATACGTGGATTACGACAGCGTCTGGCGCTTCAATGACGTCGGCGACCCGTCCGGCAAGAAGCTGTGGCAGCTCTTCCAGGCGTTCAACCTGGTCGTTACGCCGCGCAGCTAATCTTTAGGCTTCCGTCTGGTGTAAATTAAAGAGTGCTAACCTGGCTTTTTAGTTTGAAGAGTGAGATAAGATTGCCCTACAAAATAGTTGTTCGTGCCCGTTGCGAGTTATGATTCATTACATTGGATGAGCTTGGGGCCTATGGCTGCGCGCAGGCACGGACTCTTGCTGAAGAGATTTGAAAAGCAATTTGCATAAAAGCGAAACTTCTGTAGAGCTGGTTAGAGGATTTTGTGCACACATATTGCATTTTGAATCTGCCTGTACATGTGACAGAATGCATGGAATTCTTTATCTCAACTTGACCCCCTTGATCGGAACACGTATTGAAACTCCGAGACGACAGGTGCTTCTTTCGGCTTGGCCGAATTACTAAGGTGCCATGTTCCATATGTAGATAATTCATCCGAGATCCCGACACGAGAACGTTGTGCAAGGTCTTGTGTCACTCTTCCGGGGCAAACCTTTGCTAGACAACAGGAAACGAACAAAGTTGAGTCGGTGCACAGGTGCACAGGTGCACATGTTGGAAGCCCTCTTACGTAGGCCGGTGATCTGCTTGTGTACAACAGATCGACTCTTAAGCCTATGTACCATGAGCTTCACATGGTTCTGTGATCCGACATGCTGCCGTGCATATCGGCCCATGGCTGCGTGATCAAACTATGTACTTCGTTCGATCCTCGATGCATGCTGCTCATGCAAGCATGCTTTCGACTTGAACATATGCAAGTGGAGCCGGCCGGGCGCGATTGCTGTGAATTATAATCAATGATATGAGCGGTAATACAAGGGCAACGATAAGTGCGCAAAAGTGGACCGGCGTCATTGGGCTATATAAATTCAAAGGTACCGTCTTGGCGCTCAAGGAATCATAAGCTGCATTTGCAGCATGTCCAACAGCTCTAACTCTTTCTATGACACCGTTCAAACCAGTCGTTTGGATCCTTCGGGGGGCGTTGTGGCATGTAGAAGTGGCACTTCACCGCAATGGCATGTGCAATGCCCACATGCCTGGCCGTTCGACGCAGTGTACCCGGCATGGACTTGGACGGGCCTCACCGTTCAATGCTCGGATGCATGGACCCGCCTCGATTGGCGGTGAAATCTTGCAAAGGCCTTTTCGCCCAAAGAAGCAAAGAACCGCTACTCCACTTGATAATCAAACATTATCCGTCAATACACGCATCAATTCTAATCGCTGTACACCCCAAACAGCCTTAGGGGACCCGCAATTGTTGCCTTGTTGCAGGACTTAGTGACCTCATGTGACTTGCTGTCGATCACCGTCGATTAAAAACTCATCTGTGATTGCTCGACATCTGCCGAAACTTCACGAATTCGGTTGCCGAAGATATACTTAAGCGCCCCTCGTGTGAACGAAGTTTTGGGCCTCTACAGGGCCTCTACTGGGTCCGATTAGAATATTTGTAGCTGCGCTCCCTACGCCATCCGCCTACTCAGGTGCTTCGTCCCTGCAGGATTGGAATCTGCGGTGCTGTGAACGGGAAACGAGATTGACACAGCAGCACAACACAAGGATGAATGTAACCGATTCGAATGCTCAAAATCATATGCAACATGCTAGAGTTCGTATCGTGTCATGATTCTGGCAAAATGAGCTGGAAGAGGACTCCTCTAGGATATACGTCAGCAAGCTTGACTCAGCAGATTGAAAGGTAAAACGACACAGGAACTTCAGCGACAGTTTCTAAGGTGCAAGACTTGACAACACGGAGACTTCTGGATGGATCTGAGGCTGCACAACACATGCATAAGAAGGACTTCGACAATGGGCGTAGACCATGAAATGCAAACGTTCACTTTGACGTTTCGTGCGTCAAGAGTCTCTGAGCCAAGGCTGGATTTACTCACTGTTTGACGAGGCTTTCTAGAAAGACTTGCAGGGCCGCCGTGTAGGGCCTCGCAATCTTATACGAGCTGTAGCCGACAGCGAAGATGAGGGAGAAGGCGCAGATGTCTGTTCACAAGTCAAGGATGTACAACTTGCGTGGAAGGAGGGTGTAACTCTCAGGTCGAAAGTTTCAACGTGCATGACAGCTGGAAAGAGACACTCTAAAAACGAGCCTCTCATATTGAGTTGCGAAAAAAACACACTTGAGATGTTACAGATTCGAAGGTTGGATCGACGAATCTGCTGCCGAATACAATGATTGACCCTCTGTCTCGGATTGAAGAACGCCATATGTGCCACCTCCAAGAAACTTGAAACGTTTCAAGGACGATCGTCAGATCATCATGAAAAGAAGGGCCGTCGGCACGTGGTCTGCATTGCGTGTGCCTGGGAAATTCGACCAACTTATCATGTGAACAACGCTTTGGTCAGCAAGCAAGTATGAAACGACTTGAGAGATGCACCTCAATCTCAAAACAAGCAATAAGATGCACGGAACGTCAATCTCTCAGCCAGAGCAGCTGTTGGACGATTTTGGAGGATACTAAAGAGCCACCGCTCCCATCGGTCCAGCATGTACAGCCCAAAAGTGACGTTGTACTGGAAGATCTTCACATCGATCCAGTGAACAACCTGCCCAACCAAGCCCAGTTTCCGCTGCTCCTCTTGCTCCGTCACCTGATCGGAGGCCAGCTCCCTTTTTGTGGTGGACGGAAGCTCATCCTGCAAAGCACGGCGTATGGGGAGATATTGACAGTTCGCTAGAGTGCTTTTGCAAGTTTGCGCCCCCGTTGGTGCTTTCAACGTGCAAACGAAGTTGCTATCTTTGGATGGTACAGAAGTAGAAGTTGGCTGGTGGCGGTGAACAGATTTGGGCATGTCTGCTTGGCTTCCTTTTCTGCCACTCTATCTAAACGCACTCTTCCCTGCGCCACTTTCATATTGCACAGGGGCACTGGTTCAAAAGCTTTCAATCAAGTTTGCAATTCACATATTCAGTCCAAACTTTGAGATCTACTGGCACTGTTAAACTTCTTCTGATTCGTTTCAACCACACACTTTGCTAGGCATATGCATAGCCCCAACACAAGGTCTGTGGATAATTGAGATTGATTTACGGATTCAACCACCTTCTATCAGCCAGCTGCGGCGTTTTTCGAGTGCGGACCCCCCACTAGCGTCTTGTTAGAAGCCCGGCACCGGGACTTCAGCTGAGCTGGTGGTGTGAATATATTGAAGGTGCACCAATCCATGTACTCAAATCGGGCTTGAATGGAAGACGAGCATAACAACAATCACAAACTTAAGCACTTACCTGTGCTGACGCGTACACGTTGGCTTCTTGCTTTGCAGCGGGCTGTGCGCCCTTCTCTTTCTTCTTCCGAGAACTTTTTGGGCTCTGCACATCAGGCACGGCAATGTCTTCTTCTGAGGGCGCCTTCCCCTTGCTTTTTCGGCGTTGTTTGGACCGCGTCCTGACGCCTTCGTCTGGCTCAGGACTGTCCAGCACCGCAAACGAGTTCATTGCCCCTGACACCCAAAGCAAAGCCTGATTCGTGTGTATTCCGCTGCCTTTGAGATCTAGAGCTCCACTTGTGCCTGATTTGCAAATCTCTCTTCCGATTGAATTGCGCGCTCTCAATGGAGACCCTGCGAAGGCTGCAAAATCTAGAATGTCTTCTTCGGCGCAGGCCTGAGCAACTAAGCGTGAAAAAGCATCCGTTTGACAGCCGCAATTTGGAAAGCAAGACGATATCCAGGTAAGGACAACAGCAGAGCGCCTTCAGCAGAAGAGCGCTTCCGAATGCACGAAGGCTGACATCACGTTCCAGCAGCAAATGGGGCGCCAGGCTGGCGCCAGCTTTCTGGCGCCGAATCTGAGCATTCGGCTCGGCTTTTAGGGTTCTACAGATCAATCTAAGGTTTAGGGTTCCCATCTCTCCACTTCCGTACTTGGAGCCAGAACAGATCTCCAGATTGGGGCGTTGTGGCGCTTGGAGTTGGAGTATTCAAGCCAATCGCAGCTCTGAACAAACTTCTCAACTGAACAAAACGGGATCAGCGCTTTGGCATGTGCATTTCTCACTGCAACGACACGCCAAGGTCAGGAAGAGCTTTTCGCGAGATTCTATTCTTTTAGTTACAATGTTAGCACCATTCGCTGCAAACAATGGCTTCCCTGCAGACAGCAAGGTCTACAAGTTGGAGAAAGAGAGTGAGCTGAGATGCGAGGTGAGAGATCGACAGACAATGCTGTGAACGAGTCTGGAGAATGACCGTCCTGCAATTGATGGTCTTGGTGTTGTCCTGGGTGCTTCAAATTGACGAGCTTCGATCAATTTTTGCAGCTTTTATGATCTTCAAAAGTGTCATTTCAAGGCTTCTTCTAGCTTTCTTGAAGATAGAGATCTTGCGCACATCAACCACATCAACCACTACCAAATCACTTTCATATGCCGCCTTGAGTTTATGGCACTAATTGCAATCCGCTTTTGGTCATATTATCTTGCTCGAGCACAAGTGAAGTCATGTCTTGCAGATGGACCAGGTTCTGCTTGGTTTCATTGGGTCAGACTTTATGTTACTGACTGAAACGTGGTCATGACAGCGAGCACGCACTGTGTGAAGGGGCTAGGATGAGTGCTTGAAAATGGTATGAGCAACACAATGTCACTTGATGTAATTTTAAGACATAAGCACGACGTTTGCAGGTCCCTTGGGATGGCCAGCTGACCGTAAAGCTGCTGGAGGGCGTTGCAGAGATCTTTGGGACCGAGATTGCTCAAGGCCAGGAGCTGCACTACAGAGGTGGCGACAAGTTTGCTGTAGGCGCACTGATTGATCCTTCTATTCTCCTTCAATCCTTGCCTGCTAATTCGCCTTTGCTGTAGTCCCAGGAAATGACTTGCACCTCAGAGGTCAACCCCCCACAATCGGAGGCAATCTCAAAGTGAAAGCTTTCATCAAGTAGTTCAAGCTTTAAAAGAAACCTCAGATCCACTCGTTAAAGGAATGGTGGCACAGATAAAGCATAGACTACTCCAAAGAAACTTGTTTCGAGTCTTGGACACTGTATCAATGCAAATTGCGCTTTGCAGGTGTTTACATGGTATGGCGCTACTGTGGAGATAACTGGTCAGCCAGAGGTCAGCTATGTGGCAGATGAGGTGAGGCGTCAAGTTGACCACCTCAGCGCAGATGCCATAACAACTGAGAAGATGTAGTTTAATCAGAGCTTGATGAAAAGGCTTTACTTTAAGAAGTGCAGCTGTAGCAAGGAAGAAGGATATGCAAGCATCCACTCATTGTTGCTTTGAAGATAGAACCTAGCCTTGCTTTTCTGGAACCAAAGGCAGATTCCACAATCGGGTTTGGGAACTGCGCTTCAAGGGCCCGACTTTTGCCATCTCTCCAGATACAGGTCCATAGTCGTTCAAAGCTTCAGAGAAAGGCAATTTGCTGACCCCCCGCAGACTCCAATGGTGAGCTACGTCAACACGCACGCAGTCCTGGAAGCCCGACGGCAGTCTGCTCGCGAAGCGTCCAGCGTCGACGGCGGTGCTGCTGGGGAGGAGACGCAGGGGCCGAGGACCATCATCGTTGGACCAACGGATTCAGGTGCATGTTTTGTTCCCAGCCTCCTTCCCTGATTGGGGTGATGATGAGAGGCCCTAAAAATGGACTTGATGCTCCAGCCAGGCCCTGCTTTACGAGCTCGGACCCCTTCAGAGGAGACACGTTTTTATATGCGTTGCTCGTTGTTCCTCAGGAACGCGAGAGGGTAGGACATGACCTTTTTCTTCTTCGAGTCTTTCTGATGCAGCGACCGCCTGCGACGCTTATTCCCTATTTCCCTGTGCTTGGTCGTCGCTTTTCGGCCGATCTGAATTATCCATGGGCGTTTCGGAATCATGGCGTACTCCTCAAGGGCTTTATTCTGTATTATCATTCAAAAGAGAAGTCGTTGTCCCTTTTCCTTATTTTGTCAGGGACTTCCCTCTCGTCCCTCGTCAGTCCCCTCTATTCCTCTCCTTCTTTTCCTACCACAGGCAAGAGCACGCTCTGCAAGATTCTCCTCACCTACGCCGCCCGCCTTGGCTGGAAGCCCACTCTAGTTGACCTCGACATCGGGCAGGGCCAGATCAGCATCCCGGGAACCATAGCAGCTACGCTCGTCGATAAGCCGGTGGACCCAATCGAGGGATACGAGATGGAGTCCCCGCTCGTATACTTCTACGGCCACGTGAGCCCGTCCGAGAACCCGGACCTGTACAGAACGCAGGTGGAGCAGCTGGCGAGCATGCTGGAGCGGCGGTTTGCGGGGAGCGCTGAGTATCGGAACGCCGGTGAGGTGTCCAAAGAAAGTCGGGGACCGTTCCTTTGTCGTAACCCTTTTCTTTTCGTCCGAAAACCTTTTCCTGTTGTCGATTAGCTTTTGAACTTTCTGACCTACTGCCTCCGTCAAAGTGCTTGCTTTCCTGTGGGACAGCCTGTCCAGAGTACGATCTGCTTCATTCGAACTGCAGACACAGAAACGAAATAGTTTTTCCGTCTTTGTTTCCAGATCCCAAAACGGATTCAAAGTCCTTTATGTTCCGCTTCGAAATACTCTGGGTGATACCTTTCATCCAAATTGTTGGGTCTCCCTGTCTGAACGACATTCTTGCGTCCGCACAACATCTCCTCCGAACATGGTAGCCTGTCCGAACAGCACTCCTTTTCGTCAAACCAGCACTGCTTACGTCCGAACAACAGTCATTTCCGTCCGAACGGCACTCCCTCCGTCCGAAAAGAGTCCCTTTCCGTCCGAACAGCAACTCCTTCCCGTCTGAATCGAACTCCGTTCCGTCCGAACAGGCGCCGTCATTAACGCCATGGGCTGGGTCGAGTCCCTCGGCTACGAGCTGCTCCTCCACGCCATCGAGACCTTCCGCATCGACGTCGTTCTCGTTATCGGCCAAGAGCGCCTCTTCAGCCAGCTGTCGTCACAATTCCACGGGCGCACGCGACCCGACGGGAGCCGAATCGACGTCGTGAAGCTGAACAAGTCCGGAGGAGTTGTGAACCGCAACCCGAAGCACCGGCAGCGCACGCGCACCTCGCGCGTGCGAGAGTACTTCTACGGCATCGCTGGGGACCTGAGCCCGCACGCGATGACCGTCAGTTTTGCGGACGTCCAGGTGAGGGCTGGGGGACGCAGGATTTCATGGCAGAGCTTAACGTGTTAGAGTGCCGCCAGTTTGACCTCCATACGCTGAGCAGTGGTCCATTTCTTTGAAGTGATACTAGTCTGACGTCCATAGCTTTTACGATTATGTAGCCGCAGACTTACACCACCCGTAAGAAGTTGCCCGCCGAGGGGCTCCTCGTAAAGACAGCGAACATACTGTGCTAGCCGATCGTAGACATGCAACGACACGGGTATTCTTCGAGGTAATCAAAGCAAAAGTTCAGATCTTGTGCATATGCATCTGTTATGCGTCCTAGCATTTACCTCGGCATCAAAAACAAGAGCTCTTCTCTCGTAGAGCCTGACAACTTCAAATCGGTCGGCCAGCCGGCTTCAAGGAGCGTGTAGCTGTAGAGTAGGCGTTTTTTGGTTGGCCTCTACAAGGCGGTCTCTACGCTGCTCGAGCTGGCAGCACGCTTTCGGGGCCTGTTTCACTTGGAGTTTTTGCCTTCTTGAAAAGAACGAACGCAGAAAACGTTTGTTTGATCCACTTTGTGCCTTCCTGTTGGACAGATCTACCGGATAGGCGGCGGACCGAAGGCACCATCGTCAGCGCTTCCCGTTGGCGCCCAGTCGCACGCCGACCCAATCAAAGTCACTCACGTGTCCATCAGCAAAGATCTGACGCATGCCGTGCTCGGAATCTCATACGCAGCTTCCGCAGAGCAGCTTCTTTCCAGCAACGTGGCGGGGTTCATTTATGTAACAGAGGTTGATACGATGAAACGGACGCTGACGTATGTAGCCCCCTCGCCTGGTCCCCTGCCCAACAATCTGCTCCTTGCAGGCAGCTTGATGTGGGTAGAACATTGATTGCTAGCGACGTACTAACTTGGAAGACTGCTAACACTTACAGCCTGGTACCATTCGATGTCACTTGTATCTGCTGCGCGCACAAAAGCCGACCGATCAATTGCTAGGATCTGCAGTAAGATTTCTTTCAGGTTCTTCGTTCTTGCGAGAAGTACGCCACCCGACCTGCACTCGGGTTATCAGAGAAAGTACAGGTCGCATAAGTTGCATGAGCAATTGCGCATGTTCTATGATAGCACATGCAAGAGATGAAGAAAATCAAGGCCCCTGGTTTCAACGACATACGCGGCGTCGCCGTGTGCGCAGGCTTACGGCTGCCATTTCAGATGAGTCATTCAATGCGTGTAAAAGTGATGCATGCCCTGTACAGTATTATGCAGCTATTATATCTGCTTCTAATTGACCAGACCCGGATAGATGGAGGCACGGATTGCGCAAACAGATCATGCATACGGGCCTATACCGATCAAGTACGTCGAGTATTTGCGTTGCTTTGCGAAAACTTTATTGGCTAAGCCTGGGCCACAGCCGGACCGCCCAACTTATAGCCGCTTGGGGACTCGAACTTCACTTTGCCGCACGCGCCCATGCAATGCAAACGCAGAGCCTGAGTTTGATTGCTACATGCCTCCCGTTACAACTTACACAGAGCTTGTAACCTAAGTAGGAACATAATGAGGTGCAAGACCTAAGCATTTGTCGAGATTGTTTCGATCAATCCATGTTGCATATGTTAACTCATGCCTGGTATGTCAAGCTAACTCCGGCGCAGCTTGTGTTCATGGTCATGGGGTTTGACCTTTGCTGATTGTTATTGATTGGATCGGACAAACGAATTGCCATGGCCATCCGTTCCACACGCGCGTTCAAAAAGCTTACAGTTCTATGCACCGAAATTACGTCCGACATTCTATGCATGCCTTTGCCAGGACGCAATTGAACCACTAAGATGCCCTTCGGATGCTTCATGCACTAATTAGAACAATTGGCACTCTCTATATTCCTCCGTATCCTCGCGGTTGGTCACTAGCACACAAAGTGGTCGTTATTCACTTTCCGAAAGGCTTCTCTCCTTCTGACAAGCAGTGTTTCTTGAGCGCTGGCCAGGGGAGCTTTTGGTGCTCTTTGCTGCAGATACACAATTCAGATCTTAGATTGCTCTTGCCAAGATTTCTCGACATCTATGGTCATTTTGAGATTCCCTAGCATCACCTCAAAGCGGTTTCGCCGCAAGCAGAAGGGCGATGAGACATCGGAGCGAGCAGAACTGTAGCTGTTAGTAGCCAAGAACGATGCTTCCTCCTTCTACACCAGATTCAGCTTCCAACAGTGAAGCAAGCGGAATGCACGCAGCGCGAAAAAGAATGAGGATTTGTTGATTGGTACCTCACCTGCAGTAGGGAGCCACACCGCATCGCCCGCACCTGATAAAAGCTGTTGTTGAGTCCGACTCTAGAGCAGTACAAGTTTCCCAAGAGCAAACAGTTGGGAGGGCAAATGCGGATCTTCGCAGTCTCTTCCACATAGGATGTGATCCCAGAAATTTGAGCAGATCCTGCTCTTTGCTACAGGCATATTTTGACAGCCTGTCCTCGACGTAAGTCCAGAAGCCGGGAATGGCCTTGTCCAACAGGATGGAGTGCGTTTTCAAAAGCGTGAACAAATCCGACTCCCTCATCTTCTCGAGACACTCCTTCGATTCGATTAACCGCAGGAACGAGAAAGCACATTTGAGCATGACGATGTCCTTTTCTTTGTGGACGGACCTTTCGGAACGGACGAGCTCTGTCAAAACTTGAAGATACCCCAATCATCCATACTCGGCTGTCTGGCGAGAGCGACAATGTCTGGCCAGTGACTCCATTGAAGCGCAGATGTCTTCGTGACTCAGAAAAGAATATTGGTCCGAAAGCAGGCTCTGGACCTCAGGCAGCAGTTTCATGTTGCCTGCCTGCATCTTTTGCCGAAACAGCTTCGATGCCTGAGCATAAATGCAGATACTTTGAAGAGTGCACTTGATCTCTGCGGAAAGAGCGCTGACCGCTTCAATACGCGCAACCGCTTTCAAGAGACTGAGCGCCAGCTTTTCAAGAAACTCCTCATTGATCAGGCACACTTGCGCTACTACTTTGCTGGTCGCCAACCTTGAAAGGACCACGATCAAAGCAGCCTGGGTGTTCAGGTCTTGTGTATGTTTGACGAGCAGATCTGGCAAAGCACAGACGTCCGTTGCACGAATTGCGCGACCTCTCCCAGAACTCGTCAAGAACTTTCAGGGCTTCCAGGAACTTGGAAGGACCGTCAGACAGAAACCCGGAGGCGCATCTCTCCACAATCGCCGGGTCCATCGCTGGCGGAGCGGACGCCATCTGCTTCTCTCAGCAAAGATTGTTGATCTTACTCAAATGAAATTTCCTTGCTGCTGATTGAAAGGTCTTCTTGCCCCTAGGAAGGGTACGCATGCGCCAGGAAACGAAGGTCCTGCCAGGTCAGGTCCTGCACCTCAAGCTAGCTTGGAGATATACCACGATTGACTTTCAATCAAAGCTGGTCCTCAGGAGCCACCAATTGCATGCGCTCTAGAACGGCCCCTAAAAACGCGGCCGCGATCGGCTTTTGCCCTAATGTAATTGACTAAACAGTCGATCTTTGACCAAGATTATGGTCGTGCTGACGGGGCCACGTCGTGCGTCCAAACGGTTTGTGCGCCTGCTCAAAGCTTCGATAATCATGATGTTCTCGAGCTTGAGTCACCTCCTGAGCTTGATCTGTTGCTGTGGAAGTCGAACGTGCCAAACAACGATTTAGCATAATCTAGAAGTGCAGCTGCGCTCAGCAACGTCCATTGCTTTGCGCTCGATCGACCTTTTCGAGGTGCACTAGCACGCCATCAGGCTGGTCTGAGCTCTACAAACGGACTAGAGTGTTAGAAATTGCTCCTTCTGCCGTCGAGTACAAAAGCTTCCCGGCTCCGACATCCCTCCGTAGCTGTTGAACAGGCTTGGCGCAACTCATAACCACCTCTATAAGAGGTTACCAAGTCTTGTTGTTCCTTGTCATGCAATTGTTAAACATCATGATCAAGAGATTGAGACGTTGATGGTCGTAGGGTGTGACGTTATGTTCAAGATGCCGTGACGTGTCATTTTTGCGCAGTATCTGGGAATAGACCGTTCAAGATTTACTGAAGCCTTGCATCCAGTGTCAATTCGCGGAAAGCGATGTGACGTTACCATAGTCGCGATGAAAATGAAGAGGACAAGACGCGCTATTTTCTGACCTACGTCAGGACTCAGCAGGTTGGAGGAACGAGGTGGAAGCTTTCAAAACCTCTAAGAGGCTTTCAGAAAACGTAGTTTGGAGGCAAAGCGCGCCTGCATGCAATTCAAGGCCGCCCTCGCGTGCGGCGCGCTTCAAAAGGGCACAAGATTAGCAGCAGATTGCGCCGCCTGAGACTCTGCAAGGAGAGGCGATGCGAGTGTTTGCCTCCGTCATGATGGCCTGGGTTTGCCACCTTAAAACTTGACTGCGCGGAGTGTAGGCTTAGTAGCAGAGTTTCTGAAGGATTGGAGCAGTCCTCATGCACATTCCCTTAAGCAGGTAGACCTTGCGTCCAAACAGACTCTAGGAACAGAAGCTCCTGTTGCAAGATGCCTTCCGAAGCAGCAGAAAAGGCTGAGAGGAGGGCTCAGAAGAAAAGAGAGCGACAAAGTCGCATCCCCAAGTCCATGGAAGGGGGTGACTCCATTCTAGTCTCGTGGGAAGAATTTCAGACCATCTTCAAAAGAGCTTTAGAGATGATAGGCGTAACAGATGTCAATTTTGACATGGAACAGGAGAAGGTACAGTTTTCAAGCGCGGATGCGCCCAAGGGTGCGATTGTGAGCTCCGCAATGCGCAACGTATACAACAAACAGAAGTTCTTTCCAGCGCAACATTGTCTCTACGCGGTTGCAAGGGAGTCGATGAGAGGAACCCTTCATCAATTGAAGGCCGTTTTCGACACTGGTGACGAGGACCCGCCAGAGAACCTCTTCCTAACGGTCAAGACGCATGAACACGTTCTCCGCTACAACAATTTTGTGGACTCGCGCACTGGCGAGCGCTTCGATCACGTGGTGTACCGGCCTGTCAGCAGCAACACCGGAGAGCTCTTCATCGCCCTAGTCATCGGAACCCCTGGATTAGACTCCTGGATCCCTTCTCAGAGACTCAAGCGGTGGAAAATGACAGAGGAAGAAGCGATTGCGCTGGCAATCAGGAACATGGAGAGGATCACGCCCCCTCACCTGGCGTGCAGGGTGATGACTCATGATCGGAAAAACTTCACCAAGTATCAGGAGATGAGCCGCAGACGGGATGCGCTCACCCCCATCAAGCAGATGTTTCCAGGAGAAAAGGGAGGGGGTGGAGCCCTCATCGTCTCGTTTGCTGATGCGCGCGCGATCCCTCGGCTCCTGCTGCCACGTGTTGTCGAAAGACTGGCTGAACTCTTGCGCTGCAAAGCCACCTCGATAGTCGTGATTCCCGTCGACGATAACATGTTCCGCGCCGCCTCTGCTGAAGACCCCAAGGGGATGCTGCTCATGGCTATCCACCAGATTCTGCCCTACACACAAGGAGACAACAGGCACTTGCAGTGCAAGGTCTCCTAAAACCCCTTTCGGGTGAGGAAAATCCAACTTACTTTGTGCTTTTCTGAATGTAAATCAGGTGCTGAATTCCTGATCAAGCCTGTGAATTTGCTCGTTCTGAGACCGGTGGATGTCCAAAACTTCTGTCAAAACTAGCAAGACTTTATGCAGGAGGTTCGTCCGTACAATCATCTTCCAGGTCTCCCCGTCCCGTTTTCATTCTTCTTCTGATCAAGTGTGCCTTTATCTTGTTCTTGCTATCCATTCTGTCCTTCGGCCACCGCAACTTCAGATGCGGGCCATCCATTACGAGTCACATCTCGTGACCACACGTGTTGCTATCGCTGACGCTTCCGCACGTGCCGCTGACGTCAACGCAGGTGACGAAGCTCCGCAACGAGATGGGCCTGGCGGAGCTCGAGCCGTACCTGGTCGACGGCGGCCGCTTCGCGGTGCAGTTCTGGGAGGGCGCCAAAAAGAAGGCCTTCTACCCATACCCGCGCACAGAAGACGACATCCACTTTCTGGAAGATGCTTACGGCCGGTCCGCCAAGAGAGGATTCGTCATGACGCTCACGGAGGATGTGTTCCTGCAAGGGGTGTGCTGGCAGGTACGACAATCTTGCATTCTGAGCGAGAATGGCTTCGATTCTTTTAAGTATGTCATGACAGGCTCTGTCGCAATAGAGCGTTCGAGACCAGGTCGTAACAGGGACTGCTCACTGATAAGACCGCCAGGTTGAGAACGTCTGAAGGCGCTTTGAGAACCTTTTGCTTTTATGGAGAGTGGAAGTGAGCTGAGGACGAACAGGTCTGTTATGATGGCAGTCTCTTCAAACGCGCAAATCACGTGTAGAATCCATACTTTGTTCAGTATACGTACCGTTCGCATCCGACGGAACAACGGACAGCTGTTCATTTAGCCCTCACCTTCCTACAGCATTCCGTACACGCTCACGAGACACTTTGCTGTGCCTTTTTTGATTCGTTGCTGCCCAATTTCGGGATGCTTACGGCAACGATCTTCGATGCAGTGCCGTCAGAAAAGCGACCGTCTGATGAAGTGCGGCAACTGCAAGAAGGCCAACTACTGTTCGAGAGGTGAGAAAAGCACGAATAAAATTCTTAATCAGTCGGTCTTGTTCAGGAACTATACCTGGTCTCCAAGCGTCAAAGAGAGCTTCTCCAAATATACACTTAGGAGGTCTTCCAAGTTGCATTGCGTCCGCAATCTGATCTGTTCTCTTTGAAAAACTTCCCAACAAATGACGAAGAATTAGAAGCAGTCACGCCAGTAGTCCATCCACACAGATGGACTCCACATGTCTTCTCACTCGGCTCGACGGGAGACCGGGCACATAATTCCATTAAGCTTCTCACTTTCAAGCTTCTCTACAGAGCATATATAAGACTCTTATCTGGAACCCGGATATCAGAAGGGGCTGGACTCAACTCTAATTGGCTCAAACAAATAAGTGTTTTGCGATGCTCTTATAAGCAGAGTGTCAGAAGGAGGCATGGGCGGCCGGCCACAACGTCAACTGCGAGGAACGGCGGCGCTACTGGGAAAAGGCGAAAATGTGCCGGTTCTCGAAGTCTATGATGGACAAGTCGAAGGAAGCTAGAGCCACGCTTTCCGACGCAGACTTGGAACGCCTCCGGAAGGTCTCAACAGCTTGACGTACAGACTGGCATGATCTGTTTTGGGCGGTTAGTCAGACGAACGTCCAGTCACTGGTCCTGATGTAGTGATTTGCACAAATCGTGCTTACAATCAAACTCAGTCGATGCGAACTCTCAGGATCAGCAAGACAAGAGGGTGACATGTACTGCGGACTATGAGCTATAGGTGGATTCTGACCCAATATTGACAGTCACGAGGCAGCAGCCTGTTCATCGAGACTCCGCTTCACGTTCCTTTAGTTCAAGGTTTCGTGGCAATCTACCTTACTAGCTGACACTCAAGAATTTTATATCAAACGCTGTTCAGGAGCTTTCAGATCAGGGGGATTGCAGGTGTACGCATAAGGACTTCATCATCTGCTCACATGTATGGTCGGCTTCGAGATCGCTGCTGTGTAATTCGAGATCACGTTGCAAACCGGTTTTCAATCGTGCTGTGCAACAGGAATTCCGCACGGATCTTGACGCATTGAATGTACGCGACGATCCGTTTTAGGACGCATACACGTTGATCTTCTACAGAAATTGAATATCAAGATCTAAATTCTCAGCGAGCCATGGCACAATAGCTCGGCGCGCCCTCTGAGCAACTATCTCTAAGAGCTAGGCATGCTGTAGTCACTGCTGTAATGTCAGTGATATATATGCACATGCCGCGGTGGCACGTTACTGAACATGCGGAGCATGCTGTCGGGCGGGCGCCGCTATGATCAAACTTGAAGCTGCGGCACCACTTCAATATTTTGAGCGCAATCCGCTCGCGCAACAGTCTGCATCTTGTCGACGGTTCAAAACTCACTGAGTCTGTGCATAATTGCCTTGCATCCAGTGTCGATCTTATACGCAAAGGCGATGTGATGTTAAGTCCAACCGCAGTCGATCCTACGCAATTGGACAGAACGCGCTAATTCCTGAGCTACGTCAGCCAGTCGGAACGAGGTGAACGCTTTCAAGAGCTTTAGAGAACGTTTAGATGAGAGGTAAAGCACGCCTGCATGCGAGTGAAGGCCGCCCCGCCTGCGGCGCGCTTCAAAGTGGGGAACAAGAGCAGCAGGTAACGCCGCCTGAGGCTCTGCAAGAAAACGCGGTGCGAGCGTCTGCCTCCGTCATGGTGGCTTAGGTTTCCTTCCTTGGGATTTGCTGGCGCGGAGTATAGGCTTAGCAGCAGCTTTTCTGAAGGTTTGGAGCACTGCGCATGCAGATCCCTTTAAGCAGATAGATCTTGCGTGCAAACCTAATCATCTCCGAACACAGTTTCGGATCAGAAAGCTCTTGTCGCAAGATGCCTTCCGAAGCAGCAGAAAAGGCTGAGAGGAGGGCTCAGAAGAGAAGAGAGCGAGAAAGTCGCATCCCCAAGTCCATGGAAGGGGGTGACTCCATTCTGATCTCGTGGGAAGAGTTTCAGACCATCTTCAAGAGAGCTCTAGAGATGATAGATGCAACAGACGTCAAATTTGACATGGAAGAGGAGGAGGCGAGGTTTTCAAGAGCAGATGCGCCGAAGGGTGCAATTGTGACTTCCGCAATGCGCAACCTGTACAACAAGCTGAAATTCTTCCCGGCGCAAAATTGTCTCTACGCGGTTGCAAGCGAGATGAAAGGGATTCTCGATGAGGCGAAAGCCGTTTTCGACACTGGTGACGAGGACCCGCCAGAGAACCTCTTCCTAACAGTCAAAACGCATGAGCACGTCCTCCGCTACAACAACTACGTGGACTCGCGCACTGGCGAGCGCTTTGATCACGTGGTGTACCGGCCTGTCAGCAGCAACACCGGAGAGCTCTTCATCGCCTTAGTCATCGGAACCCCTGGATTGGACTCCTGGATCCCTTCTCAGAGACTCAAGCGCTGGAACATGACAGAGGAAGAAGCTATTGCGCTGGCAATCAGGAACCTGGAGAGGATCACGCCCCCTCACCTGGCGTGCAGGGTGGTGAGTCATGGTCGAAATGACCTCAAAAAGTATCTGGAAATCAGCCGCAGACGGGATGCACTCACTCCTATCAAGCAGATGTTTCCACGAGAAAAGGGAGGGGGAGGAGCCCTCATCGTCTCGTTTGCTGACGCACGCGCAATCCCACGACTCCTGCTGCCACGTGTTGTCGAAAGACTGGCTGAAATCTTGCGCTGCAAAGCCACCTCGATAGTCGTGATTCCCGTCGACGATAACATGTTCCGCGCCGCCTCTGCTGAAGACCCCACGGGGATGCTGCTCATGGCCATCCACCAGATTCTGCCCTACACCCAAGGAGACAACCGCCACTTGCAGTACAAGGTGTCCTGGAACCCCTTTCGGGTAAGGATAATCCACCTTACTTTGTGCTGATTCAAATGTAAAGTAGCTGTTGACTTCCTGATCATCAAGTGAATTTGCTCTTCGTCAAGTTTTGTGATCTCCAAGACTTCCTGTTAACACTAGCAGAACTTTATGCAGAAAGTTCGTCCGTGCATTCTTCTTTCTGATCTCCAGATATTCAAGGTCTCATTCTTCCTCTGATCAACTGTGCCTTTATCTTTTTCTTGCTGACATTCGGTCCTATTTCGGCCAGAGCAAACTTCAGAAGCAAGCAATCCACCGTCCTGAGTCGATTCAATTATGACTTTCATCTCGTGCTTTGCTTGCTTTTGCTGACGCTTCCGCACGTGCCGCTGACGTCACGCAGGTGACGAAGCTCCGCAACGAGATGGGCCTGGCGGAGCTCGAGCCGTACCTGGTCGACGGCGGCCGCTTCGCGGTGCAATTCTGGGAGGGCGCCAAGAAGAAGGTTTTCTACCCTTACCCGCGCACAGAAGACGACATCCACTTTCTGGAAGAGGCTTACGGCCGGTCGACCAAGAGACGCTTCATGATGATGCTCACGGAGGATGTCTTTCTGCAAGGGGTGTGCTGGCAGGTACGTAACCATTGCGTTTGGAGCGAGAATGATTTTGATGTTCCGAGTTGATCTTGTCAAGCAGTGTTGCAATTGAGCGTTCCGGACTATGTTATAAGAGGGACTTGCTCTTCGGTGAAGACTGTCTGGTTGAGGGCCTCTCAAGAGGCTTTGAGAACATTCTCTCTGGTGAAAAGTGGGAGCAAGCCGAGGACGAAAGGTTCTTTTATGATACTGGTCTCTTTCGAAGGGCAAGATTACGTGCAGAATCCATCCTCTGTGCAGTATACGTACCGTTTGCATCCGACAGTCAAACGGAAAGATTTTCCAGTAGCCCTAGCCTTCCTTACAGCAGTCCGTAAACGTTGCACAGAATGTTCTGCAGTCTCCTTCCGATTTGTTGCTGCCCGATCTTGGATTGTTTCTGAGACGATCTTCATTGCAGTGCCGTCAGAAGTGCGACCGTCTGATGAAGTGCGGCAACTGCAAGAAGGCCAGTTACTGTTCGAGAGGTGAGAATAGCACGAAGAAAAGCTCTCAGTCAGTAGGTCATGAAATCAGACTCAGAAGCCACACCTGATCTCCAAGCGCGAAAGAAGCTTCTCCAGAATACCACTTGGAAGCTCTTCCAGTTTAATTGCTACCGTGATCCATGTTGTGTTCCCTTAAATAGTCCCCACAGCCAGATGGCTGGTCCCTGCAGCGGTTACGCCATCAGTCCATCTGCACAGATGGTGGAGACTCCGTATGTCTTCTGACTCAGCTCAAAGGGGGATGATCCGACAGAATCTTCAATAGCCTTCTCGCGATCAAGCTTCTTCTAATGGCTTTTAAAGAGGCTCACTCACCCAAGCCCAATCATAAGACGGGGACACTCAGAAAACTCGAAAATCAAGTGTTTCGCACCGCTGTTGTATCCAGATTGTCAGAAGAAGGCATGGGCGGCCGGCCACAACGTCAACTGCGAGGAACGGCGGCGCTACTGGGAAAAGGCGAAAATGTGCCGGTTCTCGAAATCAATGATGGACAAGTCGAAGGAAGCTGGAGCCACGCTTTCCGACGCAGACTTGGAACGCCTCCGGAAGGTCTCAACAGCTTGACGTGCAGACGTGGCCTGATTTGTTATGGGCGGATCTTCTTGCGAATATACAGACACTGGTGCTGATGTAGTGACTTGCAAACATCGGATTCGAGCTTGCATTCAATCCAGTTGATGGGAAATCTCAAGCTGAAGCAAAACGGTGACATGTACTGCGGACTAGGAGCTATAGGTCGATTCTAAACGAAGATTGACGGTCAAGGGCCGGTAACGGGTTCATTGAGACTCCGAATCACATTCCTTTGGAAGCTCCCGTGGCAATCTATCTCGCTGGCTGACACTCAAACATGATTTCAAACCGGCTGTTCGGGAGCTATCAGATCAGGAGATTGGAGTTGGACGCATGAGGTCGTCTTAATCATCTGCTGACATGTATGGTCTGCTTTGAGATCGCTGTATAGCTCGCGTTGAAACAACTTCGAACAGCACGGATCGACGCTTTGAATGTATGCGACTCCGTTTAAGACGCACCTTGATACGTTTACTAGCACACACGTCCGAAATTCTATACAGAATGTGGATGTCAAGATTCTAATGCGAGCCATGCATGGCACATGCGTAGCTCGGCGCGCCCACGTACTGAGCAACTATGTCTAAGAGCTGCATGTGCTGTAACTTATGTCAGCAATTTATGAGTCCACATGTGCGGTGGCATATCACTGAACGTGCGAAGCATGCAGGAGGGCGCCATAATCAAATTTGAAGCCGCGGCATGCGATATCAACACTGTACATACTTTGACCACACTTCTGCACGAATGTGTATGTATATGTACCATTATGGAGGGCCGCCCATGCAGATTGAGAGGTGTTGAGGATATCTAAATGTGGCTCAGTCCGGCCGAAAGACGAAAGCACAGGAAACACATGCATGTGGAATTGCAGGACGCCTCGCCCAAGCACTGAACCCACGGGCGTTCAATCAAGGGCGGCCGCCACTTACATAAGCGCATATCAATGTCTGCGTGACAGTGCCGGGCAGTCAGAGGCATGCTTCATACGCGGCCGCTTTAAAATGGAAAGGCGCGATGCGATGAGAGCCCACTGCATCTTTGTAAAAGGATCATGGTTGAAACACATTTACTTGTACTCGAGCAACCTTTTGCATTCGAGCGTCCCAGTTCGCAGCATCAGCACTGGCAACTGCCAATATCAGAAAGTTTCGGACAGTGTCAGGAAGAAAGGAGTAATGCTCGCTTTTCTTGCGGGCTCGGGTTCGGGCAGTGGCTCATCCACGTCCATTTCGAGCTGCAAGAAGTCAGCCCCCAGGTCATCGCCCAGCAATTCGCCGACATTCTCGTCCGCCCCGTTCTCCCCCTCACCCACAGCCGAAACCCCCACCCCAGCCGCGGACGCCGCTTCCCCGCTCAACCCCCGAGGAACCTCCTCAGTTTCCTCCACTTTCCCGGCATGCACCTGCTCGGAAGCCGACCCTCCAACAGGCGCCGCAGCCTCTTCACGCGCATCCGGCTGTTCCGTTTCCGCTGCGAGCACCTTCCGTCCCCCTGTTGCCAGCTCTGCTGGCATAGCCGGCTTCTCGAGCCTGCCCGACAGTCCACCGCTCTTATCAACCGCACCCTCAACCGTCCCGTTCGAACGCTTCGCTTCAATCTCCACCAACCCTCGCCATTCTGCCACGCTGTCAACTTCACGCACTCCTGACATGGCCCCCGTTCCACGATCCTCCGATTTCGGCGCTGCCACCGGTTCCGCTGCGGGCTTGGCATTCCGTTCCTGCGGACTCGATGCTTCACTGGGCAGACCCGACTCCTTTCCGACACCCCGCCCCTCCACCGGTGCTTTTCCCACCTCGCAGTCACGTGGCGGCTTGAAGACGACGCCACGTGGCAGCGACCCAGAAGCTCTCCCCTGCCCAGCCAAATCTTTGCCCGCTCCGGGACTCGCTGCGTTGCTTGGACCCTTCGATCCGTTTCCCCTCGCCTGAGACTCTCCCTCTCGTTTCCCCTCCGCTGATCTTGGCCTGACCACCTCAGAGTGTCCCTTCTCGCTTCTCCGCCGCTCGAGCTCCCTATCATACAAACCCTTCCCCGCTTGCCCCGACTCCCGACCACTCTCATGACCATGCCGCGCCGACGTAGCCCCCTTTCCCGGATCGGAGGGCGTACCACCGGGCGCTCGAGCGCCGGCTTCCCCCTCGGGCCTCCTCCCTGCTGACTGCTGGTGTGAACGCGCCCCACCCGGCCCTCCTTCTCGCCTCCGGTCGTCAAATTCGCGCCGCCGCTCTCGCTCGGTCTGACGTTCTCGCTCTGTGTCCCTTCCCCTGAGATGCGGACGGCTGACGTCAGGAGATGACGCCCGTGGCGAGCGCCTCCCCCCCCGATCCAACGGTTTCCGCACGTTCCTCTCAACCTGTCTCTCTCTTACCGGGCGCGAAGGAGTTCTGCGAGCGTCTCTTTGCGCGGGCCTATCAGCTCCTCTTTCAACCTGTCTTCCTCTCCCCCTGGGCGAAGGACTTCTGCGAGCGTCTCTTTGCAAGGATTTGTCGACTTCCGACCCCTTCCCCGCGTCTCTCCCCCCATCCGTTCTCCTCTTGTCGTCTTGCCGAGGAGCAGGTCGGTCGTCTCTCTCCCTCGGAACCGTTGCCCTTTCCCCCGACTTGTTTGTTACCCCGTTACCTTTTCCTCCGTCCAACGGCCGCGCCAGCACAGCCTGCGCCTCTTTCCGATCCGGTTCTTCCTGCAAGCCAGTCGGCATCCGTTCCCGTTCTCTCACCTCAGATCCGTCCGCTCTCCTACTATCGTCTCTTAATCGACCTTCTCCTCCGCTCACCTTCAGCGTCGGCTTCTCGCGGTCTTTTACCGTCCCCAAACCCCCCGCTGCGATCTCGTTCTTCTCACCCTTTTTCTCTCCATCCGCTCTGCCTCTTCCTTCGCCTGTCCCGTCCCCCCGCTTCGCCTTCTTCGCTTCTTCGCCTCGTTCCGCCCTTCCTTCTTCGCGACCACGCTTCTGAAAACGACTCCCCTCAAGACCGCCCGCTTTCTCCCCGGTCATCTTCCTTCCGCCCGCAACTCCTCCACCCGTCACTTTTCTCTCGCCTGCAGCTCCCTCGGACCCCTCGCTGGCAATCTCCCCTTCCTCTAACGCCCGCTTCCTGACCCCAATTGCACCCCGCTCCCCTCCCGACTGAGCGACACCTCTCGACACCTTCCCTCCCTCGGACCCCTTCAACCCGCTATCCGCAGCGCCCCCCTGCTTTCCCCCCAAACCGTTCCCATCCCCTCTTCCCCCAGTTACACCGCCGCTTGCTTTCCCCCTCAGAATGTCTCCCATCGTTGCCGGCTGTAGTCTCACCACTCCACCCCCCTGCTTCAGATCCTCACTCGCTGCCGCACGAGAACCCCCCGAAACGTGGCCTCCATGCCCCGAACCCGTTACCATTCGCCCCTGCACCGCCGCCGTGTTCGGCGATTGCTGCCGCATCCTGCTCCGCTCGTCTGCCGCTTTCCGTTCCTCGCGACGTTGGCCCGTCTCTTCCCGTAGACTGAGCCGGCTCGAAACCGGCGACACTTTCTGGGTCCGCTTCCCTTCTCTTGTCGCCTCCCCACCTTCCCCACCAGACCCGTCCGTCTCAAGACTGCGATTGGACCCCCGGGGGAAAGCTTCATGCCCTAAACCGCTCCCTGATATTTGATTTCCTCCGCGAACCAAAACTGCCCGGGGGCCGTCCGATGGTGTCCCGCTACCCGATCGAACGCTCCGAGCCGAGTCTGCATCACCAAGCCGCTCGAAAATGCTCCTCCGCCTCGGCTCAGGAGATTCCGTCCCTCGTTCTAGTTCCTCCACCCTCTCCTCCTCCGACTGACGACCTTCTCCTTGCTCGGGGGAGTCGGAACTTCGCTCTAGTTCTCCCGACTCTGATTGGCCGCGCTCTGCCCTCTGCCGCTCCGCCGAGTGCTTCATAACCAGCACGGTGCGCAGGTCCGTTCTCGCGACCGGGGGCTGGGGAACCGGGGACGAAGGGCCGGGGTTTTGCTGGGAGCGAGCGCCTGGGGAACGACCTACCGGGTGGAGAGGCGCTCGGAAAAGGCGGCCGAGAGACTTAACCTGGAAGAAAGGCAGGGCGATAGGAATACTGGCTGCTATGTGACAACTGGCGAGCTGGAATCCATACGGAAAAAGACATTGAAGAGTGGCTGTGAAAGGGCGGGTGGGGAAAGGGAGACCGAATGCCGTGAAGAGGCAAACGGGATGCAGCAGCGTGTTTGCCAGGAAAAAATGTGAGGAAGGAGAACTGTGTTGCAAACTTGAGTCAGCTTTACAAATGTGGTCAGGGTCGTGCTGGATTAAGAAGTGGTTGTTCGGGTCCTATAACTTGCCCCGGCAGAACTTGCTAACAGCGGCCCCTTACTTCTAGTCAGTCCTACGAACTGGCTCCCTAAACCTCGCTTCTTGCGCGCTTGCTTCCCCACTTCCGAACGGCAGCTCCGCTTTCGTCAGAGGGACGGGTTGGCGGGATCGTAGGGCGGGTGGTGCTGCCACGTGGCACCATAACCGCCCTGGGAATAGTAGCTCTCGTAGCCGCTCGAGTGGTACCCGTACTGCGCGTCGCTCTGCACCGCTTGCAGTTGCATCTGTTCATAACCGGGGGGGCCATCCTGGTTCAGGTAGTACGACGTTCCGGGGGGGTACGTGGACGCAGCTTCGTACCCCCCCGTCGAGGACGGCTCCGGGTGCACGATGATATAAGCAGGCGGGGCCTCGGCATAGGCTGCCGGCGCGTGCTCGTGGGCCGCAGGGGGGGTATCATAAGCGGAGGGGGTGCTTCCGTAGGTGGAATGGGGATACGTCTCGGTTCCGGGGGGTACTTCTTGCTGCTGGTGATAGGGGGTGGAGGGGGGGTGGTGTGAAGCTGCTTCTGGCTGGGTCACGGAGTAGAGGTGAAGGAGGCGGGAGACCTAGCAGGGGGGGAAGGGAGGGAGGTGTGAGAAGATAGGCTATGATGAGAGGGAAGATACGCTATTTCTCAACTCGAGAATGTAAGTAAGCGGCGCTGGGGATAGCTATGCTAGGTAGCTACGAGGCTATCTCTGATGCAAAGAGGGAGGAGGGACCGCTTGAGTGGCTGGATGAGCGCCGCCAGCAATTCTGCTAGACACTTGTTCTGCAAGCCCTTAAGCTCCTGAGTAAGGACTACATAGTCGAGTTAACACCGGAGGGAGCATGTCTGCGAGGATTCCCAACCAGGGCTTTCGTAGCGCTTGGATCTGAAAGCCAGTAGGTGCATTGCTGGCTTGCTCTTGGTGTTCGAGGGACGGCCGTTCTGCGTGTTTTTCTGTGATCACGAATGTGGGTAATGTGTACGTGACTGAGGATGAGAGGCGAGTGCGGTGCTGTGGTGCTCTGACCTGGTGTCAAGTGCGGGTCAAAATACAGTACTGCCATTCGGTGCCATATTGTACTGCCATTCGGAATGTTTGTTTTTTAGTCTCTTTGCATTTTCGCAGCGGCCAAACGAATTCACTTTTGTTGTCAATTTCTCTCCATTTTACCAGTCGAAATAGGCTGTTTTTGGCCTGAAAATCGTTGTTTAACTTTTCGACCAGGGAGCAAATCATTACCAGAAAGTTTCGACTGGGGGTGAAATAATTAATTTTCTATGCGTATTCGCAATGGAAATACGGTAAGTGAACCCTCATCTTTACAGGCACAGAAAATTTTGCATATCGAAACGATTCGGACGCGAGCCCCAAAATAGGGACCGATCAAGAGCAGAGATTGAAGATTACCGTGGGTTGCAGCTCCCAAGCACGAACAGCTTCTAGAAGAGAGATCTTGCGGAGTGTAAAACAGACATTTATGCTGAGGTCAGTGAACGAAGTACCATGCAACTGTGGTTTCGGAAACCTTTTGACTGATAGCTGCTGCCAACTAGCTTAACCACCCACTGTTCAGGAGGTGTTTTAGCTTTGCTTCACTCCTTCCGGGGTAGTGGTGTCAATTAGAGAGAAGCAGAACATGATCAAGTACGAGCGACGCCTCACCTGATCCACGCTGAGCTCGAAGCTGAATTTAGTTGGGGAGAAGTAGTTCGCGCGGATCGCGTCTTTGAAGACGCTTTCGTGGAGGGGCGTGCAGTCATGCCGCAATCGCACCCAGACCTGAGAAGATATTTCATGATAAGTTCCCATTTACTTAGTCAAGATTTTGGAAAACATATCTGGAGGTGTATCCAACACTGAGTAAGACTGCCTGATATTGAATCTTCCAGTTGCATGGGCCACCATTTGACTGCAGAAGGTAATGTTTCAATCTGCCTTATTTGCAGAATGACACGTTATCTACAGAATTGACTGGCGAAGCAAAAAGTCCTCCGGCAGCACTCCTTTCTCTCTCAATTGCTTTTTTTTCCCACTCAACTCAACAAATTTGAAGTGCGGTTCCTGCTTCAAGCACAGACACACCGGGATGCACACACACTCCTCAATGAAGCAACAGCCTGGAATGAGACACCAACCAATGTACCAGCCATGAACCAGCGCACTTTTTAATGATCTCTTGATCTTTCAAACCTGACCTGCGCAGGGAAGCCTGCTGACGAGCGTGCCTTGAACGCGCTGGGGTCCAGGTCGAGACCGCCCGGGCTGGTTGCCTCAAAGATGCCATGCAGGTTCTGTAGAGAAAGCGGCACTGACGTGAATGACTCGCAACAAGAGCCAGTAGTTACAAGACATCAAGTGAGTGGACGGCGAAACTTTCTCGAAACTCCCTGGAAAAAGGCAATTGTGAATCCCGTCAGAGACTGAATCAAGATGACTGGCCAATGAAGACCTTCTCCCAAAGCAAAGAGCACGAAGAGTACGGGCCTGTAAACATCATCAGAAATCTGGAAAACTCATCATTCTGTTGAAAAAGTGTATGAATCTATCGACAACTGTAATCCTAGCGGAATCGCCGCATGGCATGAATTGGAATTTCCGCTTGATGCGAGCGTAAAACTTGCATTCATGAAAACGCCATGCACTTGTTCACTTCCTGCAACTTCTGTATTTAGGGGCACTTGGTAGTTATTTTGAGCATGTCACACATTCCAACCCAATACTTCTTTCAAACATAAGCGGCACGAGCAACATTCCAGGGACAGAACCTCACCTTTGTTTCAAAGTTGAAAAGAAAGAGCGTCGTCCCCGGGGCGATCCTGAGCACAAGGCCTGACTGGCTCATTGGCAGTCCAAAGAGACTCCGCTGCATACACTCCATCATCGTTTGGTTGTTGCAGCCAAAGATGACGCCTGCCGGCACGGTGTCCCTACGGGACTCTCGGTGTCGACCACCTGGAGGGTGGCGTGGGCCTCTGCCATCCCTCCGGTCGTATCTGTGGCTCATTCTTAGGTAGATTCGAGCATATGCAGCGCGAATGCAGGTCAAGGAAACCTCCAATTGACCCAGGTTTGGCAGAACTGAAAGGGCTCTCAAATGAGTCAATAATATTTGAGCACAGCGGTGGTGCACGGACGAAGCCTCATGAAAAGCAAGAGTCCGGTGCTAGCAAAGCTGACCACCCTGGAATCTGACTCATTACACTGTCGGCGGTTCAGGAACATCTCTCCTCTCTCTGCACCTCCTGCTTCTTGCACCTTTGACAACCACCAATTGCTCAAAGAGCTTGGGATCTGTCCGCTTCAGCACCCTTGGTGCACTCGTGCAACGAAGAATTCTACTTAAAGTTAAGGTTTTCTTGAGGAGGAGCTCAGCAAGCAGCCCTGCCCAGCTGTGCAATGGGAACGATCTAGGACTGCGATCAAGACAAGTCTTCCAAGAATGCTCCTTGGCTTCTTTTTCAGGAGCCCTCGAATGAAATTCGTTACCGCTCTCGAAATCTGTCTCCATCAGAGAAACCGGAATGTAATTTTACACGCCATCTCTAGTTCACAACGGAAAAGGAGCCATATGCATGCTGCATGAAGGGTAGGATAGGAGGCCGGAGTCCGGACTCGCACTTTAAGTTTCTGCAGGGAGAGCCGAGATTGTGCCAAGCTACCGAACGCTGGGCACTGAAAGTCGCTAGCTGCAACCTCCCCGAGTGGAGCGCTTTGCCAGATTGTCAGCATTTCAAGCAGGCGTTCCCTTTTGGAACTCATCTGGCTATCAAAACCCGTCCCAATGGACGACACAGTGCTTGAGCCCACGCTGCAGAACGTTCTGGATCAAACCAGTTTGAAATGGATCTTCTGCGGCGGGAAGGGGGGTGTGGGGAAGACAACAACCAGCTGCTCTTTGGCGACTCTTTTAGCAGCTGTCAGGGAAAGAGTGCTCATCATCTCAACTGACCCGGCTCATAATCTGAGCGACGCATTCCGGCAAAAGTTCACAAAGAGCCCGACGCTTGTCGAGGGGTTCAAGAACCTGTATGCAATGGTGAGGTGTGAACTATCTTCGTTCTGGTGGAACTTTTGAAAACTTCACAACATTCAGAATGAGGATTGAGTAAGTTATTTTCAGTAAATTGCTTGAGGTACCTTTGAAAAGGTATTTGGACCTAAAACTATCACCCTTCTCAAAATGATTTTTGTTAGAAACAGATTATGTGGCACAGGCTTGAGCAAGCCAGAAACTGTACAGTCTCCTTGCAAGGCAGTCTCAATCAATAAGAGCATTGAGCATTCTAAACAAACAGAAAATGCCACTACCACCTTCTGCTGTCCCCCAATGTCGGAAGTTGACAGCACTGTTTGCCCTTCTTGCCACCAATCAGCTATCTTTCTAGTGGCAGTAGATCCAATCGATGAATCGCAAGTCCACTGGAAAGCGCTCTTAGGCAACACCACTTCCATTAGAGGAGGGGCCTTGAGCGTGAAGCTGGGGCAAAAGATGGGGAGTTTGAGCTCCTTCTCTTTGTGGTCAAGTCCTGGACTGATTGCTGAATTGAATGTTCCACATACCTTCTGGATAGCTCTTATATAATCCTGTGTTTTGCATCTGATAATCCCTTTATCACACAAGAAAGCGAAGGCATTCGTTCAGTTTGAAAACCCAATCACTTCCTCTACAATCGCATCCACCTTGATGCCTTTGACAGTGGATTGGAGACATCTTGTGATCCTCCTTTTGCACTGTGAATCCATCTGGTGGATCAGATAAGGCTTGAGAACTTGACTCACATTCCTCAAGTTGTAGCGTCGCAAACCTCAAATGATCCAGATTTACGGAAACTCTACCAGGAAAATAGTATCAATCAAAGCATGGCGCTAAACTTGTTTTTTGCCCCTCACAGGAGGTCGACCCGACAGTCGAGGTGGACGATCTGCAGATCGAGGGCCTCGGGGGCGGCATGTTCTCTGACCTTGCAAACTCAATTCCTGGAATCGACGAGGCAATGAGCTTCGCCGAGATGCTGAAGTAAGGGCGAGTACTGGTGCGGCAGGTTACTGTTTCGATCATGAATGAGCATGGGTTGATCTGCAGGCTTTCAATGTTCTTGCTGTTTCTTCAAGAGGAGCTTTGGAGAGCGTGTTACGATCCTTGTAAGCAAAGGTTGTGTTGGAGCCTAGTGAAGATTGCGATCGCCAAGGTGATTGTCTGAAGCAGCTAAATTTAAGCATTCCCCCTTTGGACTCGACTTGGGGCGGCACCAGATGGTACTGTCTTGCAGACCGGTTTTTGGAGTCTTTGCATATATCTCTCCGATTACTTCGTCTTCCAACTTCATGGCTTTTTCTGCTCGAAGAAAAGGCCACGAAACATTCAACTTGCTGCCAGGTTTGATCAGCATATCAATGCTTTCAAAAAGTCACCCTGTCCGCCCCTCCGTCCAAGATAGCCTGCTCGGATATCCTCGACCCAATTCCCCCCCCCCATTTCTCCCCCAATTGAGTTCTCTTCTCTTTTCTCGCCCGCCAGGCTGGTCCAGAACATGGACTATTCGTGCATCGTGTTTGACACCGCCCCCACCGGCCACACCCTGCGGCTGCTCCAGTTCCCGTCCACAATAGAAAAGGGTCTAGGCAAGATGGCTAGTTTCAAAAGCAAGTTTGGAGGCATCATTAACCAGGTAGGTGAAGACGTTCGTTTTAGGAAGTCCTCTTTACTTGAAGTTTTCATTTGATTTTGTCATACCTCGAGCAGGTTGAGAAAGTCTCGCTGACGTGGGTAGCTCAAGATCAGGTCCGTTGGCATTGTTAGTCAGGTAGGTCGAAAACTGGGTTCTGGTTCTTCGTCGTCATACTTGCAAATGTACGAGCTTGAAAGCGAGTTCGGAACTTCTCGCACATAATCTGAGTTCTCACGATTACGCACTCCCAAGTGAGCCGGACATTGGCAAGGCGGCACAATCGAATCTGAGAACAATTTAAAATAATGTGAGTTGCTTAGGTTAAAGAGGGCCTCGAGGGCGAACCGTTCTGTTTACGTGTTCACTTGAGAAAAAACGCAGTCCAGAGCTTTGTGACTGAGCTAGGCACGTCGACACGCAACATTCGACGGCGGCTCCCGCTGTCCTGGGACTAGGCTTCCACATTATGAAAGGGGAGATCTATTGGAATACTACGACACCAATCTCTTTGAACGTTGAGCTTTGCACATCGCTGTGATGCGAAAGCTCAAAACAAAATGGCCGTTGCGATTGACGAGGGTGACCAATTGCTGAGACTCTCAAGAGTGTCTAGGCCGATACCATCCGCGCTCTCCTCCTGCTTAACGAAGTGACACGTGTCGGTTACAGGCCACCCGGATGTTCGGTGCCGGGGAGGAGTTTGGGGCGGACCAGATGATGGAGAAGCTGGACACGATGAAAGCGCTCATCGAGAACGTGAACGCGCAGTTCAAAAACCCGGTGAGTGTCGGAATCGTCGTGCACTCCCTCCGAGACTGCCTTGGGAATGTTCGCTCCCTTCGAGAGCTTTTATCTAATGACGCTTTCGCTCGTAAGACATATTGCAGAGACCGCCCTTGGCTTTCCGCAAGGTAATTGACCCCTTTTCCCAGTCTTACAAACGAGTAGTTGGACTCGATGAAAGCGCTAGTCAGATTCTAAACGCGCAGTTCGAGATTTTGGTTATTGGGCCCAACGACCGGAACGGTAGAGCAATCCGTCTTCGGCTTCTACTTTCGATCTTCCCATTCAGGATCTTTTGCATGACTTGTTCAGAAGCTTTACCAGGGCTATCGGGAGGGGTTTGTATCTTTCCAATGTCGATGTACGAAAGGCGTGGATTATGGTACAAAAGGGTTGCCAAAACAGGTCGAAGAATTTACAACCGACCGGTATGATCCTTCGTGGGAGTTGGCGACGTTATGCGAGTGTGCAGTCTCAATCTTCGGATGCTTTCCAGAAGCACAGAAGCAGATTACAGGTGAAGAATCGAGATCAAACGGAGAACAAATCTAATACGGAGGCATTCTTCCTTTACTTGCAGGTTGACGGTGTTTCGTCCGTGTCCAGTCTCGAGTACTGCTGCCCTAAGAAGCAAAGAACGCAGACTGGAAGAGAACCAGATGAATCCGAATATGAAGCCTTCCTTTCTCCGCAGGCATTGACGACGTTTGTTTGCGTATGCATCCCCCCGTTTCTGGTGAGGCGACAAGTGCAGACTGGAAGAACAGAAGAGCAGGAAAACGATCCTGGTACGAAGCTTTCATTTCTCTGCAGGAGTTGACGACGTTTGTCTGCGTGTGCATCCCCGAGTTTCTGTCGCTCTATTATGGCAAAGAATGCAGACTGGAAGAGAAACATACCAAATTGAAAACACAAAATTGGCTGGGAAAGCAGCCTTCCTTTCTCTGCAGGAGTTGACGACGTTTGTTTGCGTGTGCATCCCCGAGTTTCTGTCGCTATATGAGACGGAGCGGCTGGTCCAGGAGCTGGCCAAGTTCGAAATGGACACACGGAACATTGTGATCAACCAAGTGCTCTTCCAGGAAGAAGGTGCGTCTAATTGGGAAATCGGTAATTGAAAATAGGTAAACGGAACCGGGTAATGTTTCCAGGGTTTTGAGGTTTTGGTTTGGGAGGATCGAAGCATCTAAAAATGAACATCGTAATTGTTTAGATGCCTTTCCTGGAGGAAGGTGCGTTCGGTGTCGAACGTATTAGGAAGTGGGTTCTCGGTTTCAGGTCTGAAAGTTTGCGATTTGTTGGTTGGGGTTTGGGGTTTGGGGTCTGTGTTCTGAAGTCTGGGGTCTTGGAGACTCTGAAGATTCTGAGGCGTTGGAATACCATACGTGTATTCCTCTAAGACAAGCTCTTTCAGAAGGAAGCTCTGAGTCGCCTTGTCTGCTTTCGTGGAAGCCAAAGGCTTGTTGCTCTCTTACCGTAGCTTGGTTCTGTCGTTGCTCGCATTTAACCTGGCCCTTCATTTCTGCCCCTCCTTTTGGCGAGTCCCTGGGGATCTGTTGACTGTGGCTCTGCAAAGAGTGATATTGAGTACAGAACCAGATAAGAGTGCTGCATCGTCCTTTTCCAAAACTTTCAAGACAAAGGGTGTTTTCAAAGCTTCGGAGTCGTGTGATGCACAGCTGTCCGTACCTGATTCGACGTCAACATCGGCATGGCGTAGGACTGGACCCCTCTTCCCACTAGATTGAAGAAGGAGCTTCGACGTTTGCGGACATCCTGAACCTTCTTTATGCCCAATGCCTGCTTTCAACCCCGCTTATAGCCGTGACCCCCTGTTTCTTGCAGTGCGGGGATCTAAACTGCTGCAAGCGCGCCTGAGGATGCAACAGAAATACTTGGACCAATTCTACGACTTATACGAGGACTTCCACATCAGCAAACTCCCGTTGCTTCCCGAAGAGGTGATTATCTGCTGTTTCCAACCATTGCAATTCCCAGGCTTTCAGGGTTCGAGACAGTGAAATGACAGCTCTTGGTTCTTGGGTCTTCCAGTCTTTTCGGTCCATCCAGAGTTCGAAATTTCACTTCTAGGAAGAGACTCAGATATCAGGTCACAAGTCAAAGAGAAGGGACATGAAAAGCAAGCTCGCTGTTCTCAGAAACGACTTATTGGTCTTGATTGCTGCTTTTCGGGTAGCGTGGATTGAAGCTCTGCGAATGTTGCAAAGCCTCCAATAACGTCTTCTTGCCAAGTGCATGATAATCCTCGTGGCTTAAAAGTGAGAGACTGGAAAAGATACAAAGAAGGGAAATTAGAGGGTCAATATGCCGTCTATGCAGGTAAGGGGCGTACCGGCTCTAAAAGCCTTCTCACAAAACCTAGTCAAGCCGTATTCCCCCGCTGAGGAGTCCTCACCAGAGGACACAACAACGAGATCGGTGGATGGAAGCGTTGACTTGAAGGCGGAGGTTCAGCGCCTTGAGCGAAGAGTAGAAGAACTAGAGGCGGAGCTTGCCGTGCTGCGAAAGGGTAAAAGCAAGGTCATGGACGTTGATTGACGCAAACGAAGTACGGTGGCCTAGGTATTCGGTTAGAATAAGAAGGCATCTTCCGTTGCACGCATTATTTTATAGAATCCATGATTTAGGAAATACGCTTTAGTGAACAGAATGATGTCCACGTGCAGCATGCACTTTACATGGTTGACTGGGCGGCCGCGCCGCAAGCTACTGTACCATGTGGCCAATGCTATGAAAGTTCGACGTCCGTGATTGTTACAGGCAATGTACGCTGCCTCGAAGACGAGCTTCATGTGCGACGCCAGGTCCTGAAAAGGGGTCCGCACAATCATGCACAATCGCCGTCTGTGATGTGCCGCCAGGTATTTATGGACTGAAAGCGGTTCCATGGCATAGCAATCAAAAACTTGAAAGTAATAGCAGGAATTTACCATGCATCTCATGCAGCACTTGAAGAAGACTTTATACGTATGCCACTGCTTATATTTATAGGTGCTTAATTCATTCATAGGCTCCGACATGCAGGGCCTTCGACACAAGCTACCTATGGTGGGTACCGGCCGAGTCGATTCCGACTCCGGCCGCCACAAAATCGATTTAGCGCGTATCGAATATCGTCAGTGTTACCGGCGGTTCGCGTCACGGCTACTCAGGTTTATGTTACTCGGGCGGTACAAATACTCAGAGAATTTTGCCGGGCCGTAAGTAAGTGTGAGGAGATTCTTAAACAGTGTCAGGTTTTACACTTTGAGAGGAGCATCAAATTGGCACGCAAAGAAGAGCCATATGCAGGCTTATAAAAACCTCTGACAAGCAGAAAAAAATGTTGGGAGAGCGTCATGAAGGCTCCTTCGAAGCTCCAACATCTTGTTATGTTGAGGACAAATCGGAAGAAGCACCATCGTGGCTGCAAATTGGCCGCCATTGCTTGCTTCTAAAAAGCGCCATTCCCTACACTCCCGTTTCCATCTTCTGCACTCTCCTTTCAAGTTAGGTACCGCGGTACTCTAGGGTGGTTCGAGTCGGAACTTCCGATCGAAACCATGATTTTCAAATTTCACGTACGGTCAGACTTGATCGGTACCGTACCGCCGGAAACTCCGGAAGTTTCTGACGATCGGAATGTCAGACAGATTCTAATTCATGAACTCGGACCGGATTCTCAAGTACCGGTCTGCACGATCGTCAGTACCGCGTACAGTAATTGTCGCGACGCGACACACCGGTGATTCAAATTTGTGACCGGACCGTCGCGCGATCGAGACCGCCGATACCCACCATAGGTTGCTTGTGACATGCCTTGCATGGAATTCGCCAGTGCCATGGTTATCGTAATTATCAAGATACATGCCCGGCCTCCAGCTTAGCCAAGTATAGCCCACTGAAAAACGTGTTGCTAATAGGAGCAGCACTAATGTTATTCCCATCGTTTATCCGCGGCCCTGATCTTGCCAAACCCATCTTTCAGCCGGACTAGTCCATGATCGTTCATCCCTACTAAGATTGCGATAGGGCTGACTCCTGAGCACGCGCTTAGATAGCTTGAGTATGGTACCTGGTTCGACATATGCATGACCGCTCGATCGGAACACAGCAGTACCGACATTGATGGCGCAAACGGCTTAAATGTTCACATTATGGGTTAACAACCGCTAGGCAACCTTCTTCATCAGCAGCAAGGATTGTGGTTACAAACCCTGATGAATCGGTTTCTCTGATCACGCTTCCAGCATGATCACAGCTCTTTCTTACCTAACAACTCAACTGATTGAGGATTAAACTTAGTTTCAATCGCAACTCGACTATGGCAAACCTGCACAACACCCTCTACTCTCTTGTTTTTCAGCTTATTGCATCCCGTAGCTAGAACTTCGATTTATCTCTGCTCAACATTCCGACTTTCGACCTCGTCACGAGGGCTTGAACTTCTCTACTGTGTCCAAAAGAACGCCTGCCAACCCGCCAGCCGAAGCATACTTGATCTTAGTGTCTCCAACCAGATCCGGCAGGTCTTTCTGCTCCACGAAGCGGAATCCGCCCTCCAGCCAGGCCACATTCCGGTACCCCGCATTGTACAAAACTTCTGCTGCTAGTAGAGACCTGGACAACGGAGTTAGGATGCGTCAATTTGAGCAAGTGCAAACTTAATGATTCTAATACCAACAGCAACAAATGAGACTGGGAAACTAGGCACGCGCGTCCTCCTACTCCGACCGAGTCTAGGTCCAAACAGAGGGGAATACAACAAGGTGGGTCTGGGTATAAGGGTCAAGAGCTGAGGAACTTTCGAGCGGTTTTGGCTGAGGTTTGAACGGGATTTTTTTCTCACGCAGATTGAATTCTCGACACAGGCAAGCTAATGGACTGCGAGATGACATACACGAATGCATTCAACGCTCAAAAGGAAAGCATGACATAAGCAGGCAGACTTTGATTGGTCCACCTCACCTGAGGCCGTCTCCGCAGGAGACGAGCAGCCGTTGCTCTTTGGGCGCTTGCTTTTTGACCTCGTTGAGGAACTGCTCGTTCACCTTGGTGTGTCGTAACCCCATCCACAGGCCCCCGTAACCCAGTGCGAAACCCTTGGCGATGAGCGTGCCAATGTCCTTGCCGTCGTGCTACAAGTGAGCGGAAACATAGCTTCACTATAAATTCCGAAGTTCCAACAACCGTGCTCCAGGGTGAATGATTTGAAACAACTATAAATTTACGTCAGCGGTCTGACGCCAGCGCTCTGACTTCGAAGCTTTGTACGCAAAACGGGACTGCTATACAACTTCTGGGCAATCCGTGTCTGGAGGAGGTGCCTTTGGTGGTACTGAAGGAACGGAGTTGCGTTTCCTCTTCTCCACAACTGAAAACACCAAACAGAGAGGTACTGATTTTCACAGAGTTGCAGCAGATTCTTATAGTTTGTGCTTGTCTTTCCTTACCTCGACAAACAGAGGGACATGCAGGCTCGAGGGCGAGTGCGCCTTGGCATGCTCCCACTCCGGGCGAACATCGAGCATTGTGTACGCGTTCCCTTCACCCTCCGCTGTCAGGGCTTTGTGAAGATCCTGGTATGAGATGGGCCGAATCTTCCGTGAGCGCACCAAGTCCTCCGCCTCCTGCGAGCAGAGCGAAGGAGTGCTTCTCGAGCTAACCGTCCATTTAACCCGCCATGTCAAGACCTTTTCTGCTGTCATTCATTACCAGTTCCTGGTTCCCCCTTTGGTCTCAAAATGCTTTGTGGTTAGAGTTAGCTTATCATATGGACTCTGCTGGCTGGTTACTCAGAGTTGGCTCAGGTCTGCAGCTTGTGACATGAAAAGGGGTAGTCTTGACATGGTTGAGACCAGCATGGAAACTTCAAAGTTATGGAGTTAAAGTTCTGTTGCGGTCCAATTGGACAGAATGTCCTTCTTGCCGTATCCAAGGTGACTTTTGACAAGATGCAAGTCAGCAGAAATGCCGGGGGCAATTCTTTAACTTCATATTGACTTCAGGCAGTTTACTCTTTGATTTGTCAATCTTGTGAGGAAATGGGCTAAACAACTGCAGCAAGAAGAAATTGCTGCTGCGCAAAGCTGTCTTGCCACGGAGTAACATTCTGACGCCGCCACTTTTGATAAGTGCCATCTGGAATTCAGGAACAGTAAAGCAGGTGCGTACTCGAGTCTCTATTGAAAAACAGACGGCAAGAGTCGGTGACAAGAGATACCAAGGCCTCAAATCCAGATTACAGCTTTATTGCTCCAAGCATTTAAGCTAAGAGGGAGTAGAGCCAAAGACTACCACCTTCTCCCAAGGAACCTACGGTGCCAGGTCTTTTGCAGAATGTGAATGGAAGATATTCAAGAACGCTAGCTTCAGACGCAGATTGCGAAAAAGGATTGGAACCTGGTCCTAGCAATCTCCACAACTCTCAATGGGCACACTGTGACTTACTTTCATGCCATTCCGTACAATTGCACCTCTGGCTGAACTTGTCTTGGAGGGTTTCAAAGTGGCAAATTGCAGCAGATTGGAATGGAAGCTGGAAGACGACAAGCGGATACTGGCGGATGGCACATTGCCTCTACACAACGGTGCGCTTCGCTGTCTACAACTGGAACGTTCATCGAGGCCCCCCTGCTGCAGGCTGCATACCAATAAAGCACTTCGGCTGCCAACCAAAGCTGAGGTCGCCATGTTGAACTTGAAGAAGCAAGCCGCGTTTTCCTTCCCCCGGGCCGTAGGCTGAGTAAGTCTTTCTTACTGTCAAAGCTTCGAATGCAGTGCGCCACAAAAGCAGACTGGTTTGACAAACCAGACCACACAAACCAAAGCCTGATTGTGACGGTCCTCAAGCACGTTCCAAAAACGGCACTTTTCCCAAGGCTGGCTTCCGACACAGGC